CATCATCCACATCGTTCGTTCTATAATCATCATTATAGGTATATGTTGGGAGCAAATAGAAAATAATTAGAATAGTATCCTAACACAGATATTAGAAATTCAACTTTTCTATCTAAATATTTTAAATGGAGAATTGAGAAATTAAAAAAATGTGTAGTCTTCGAAATAAGCTTTTATTTCCCAAATTAGGTTTTTCTGTAGAATATTTTTATTGTAAGCATTTCACGGAATACTCTCTTTTTAAAAACGTAGGCCTGTTTTATCGTACAAAAGTAACCATTGAAAAAAAGTCAAATATTTAATACATTATAGTATACTTAACTCATTTCGTTTCATCACGACCAATTTGTGGGTTGGATCCTTTTTGAGTAACTACATCCAATTCTGCGCTCCATTTTTTGTTCTTAATTCCAAACCTGAAATCGGATGAAAGTTACGAGCAACCAATAAACCAAACATCGTTCCTTTACTCGTAACATAATAAATTACTTAAACTTACGATTCAAATAAAAGAAAATAAATTTGAAAGCTAGATATTATAAGAAACACGAGACGAAGTCATATTTATTGATTTGCGATACTCAATTTACTTTCATTACGTCAGAAACAAAATTTTAATGAATATCATAAACATAATCCAAACATCGATGGTGACATCTAGTATGATTTCAAGAACTAATTTTTTTTTTTTAATACTTCCTCATTGGAAAACAGCTTGCTCTGGGTGTCAGTGACATCTAATATAGATCTAACTACAACGAACAATTCCCTTAAAATAAGCTATTTGACATTATTAAAAATAATTTGCGTGAGTAATTGTTATTGGTGGGTTTAGGACCCGTAAGTGCATTAACAGGTATTGGGTAATAAAACATGTAATAAACGTTTACTACCCAAAATGTATATTGGTGAATCGGTATAAAAGATAGGTACAATTTTATATGGCACTAGCTTTCTGCCAGCTGCTTCGCCCGCGTGGTCCGCTGGTACCTTATTCATAGATCTAAACTCCCCTCCCGCACGCGCACCCCCGCCTTGGTGACGTCCACTTCGCAACGGGCCATGCAGCAGAAATCGTAATATTTTAATTTTGCCATAACTTTAAAACCAAACGTCCAATTTTAATCATTCAAAGACCAAATATTATCTACATAAACTGTATTTAGTGATAAAATAATTTATTTTGGTAAGGATTACTAGCATGAGTAAAATAAACGCGTTTAAATGTAGTCCAAAAAAAGATCAAGATTTTTAAATAAAAGAATGGTTGTTCTGCCTCACTCGACATCGATAGGTATAGTGTGTCGCGGACTTTTTTGTTGATATTTATAAGATCTACAATTAATTAGCACATTTTGTGGTTCTATCTATTATAGTCTAGGCAGCGTACGCAAAATAAGTAACTTTTTTGGTTGATTTTTTACACCTTGTGTCCGAAAAACCCAAATATCTTACGGAATCCTATTTTTTTCCAAAATAAAATATAGCCTTTGTTACTCGTGGATAATGTATCTTTAGAATGGTGAATTTTTTAAATCGGTCCATCCTTCATAAACCAGTTTATTCCACCACTCGCGAAAAAGAGTAAGAGCGAACAAACACGGCTTGTAAGTAAACGAAAGAGATAGATATATTTAATCACCTTAGCAGAAGACTCGATCATTTTGTTTGCGAGCAATCAGTTACATACAGTAACTTTCTTATAATAAAGTGCAATTTGGCTTGCGTAGGTAGCAGGTCAAATAATCGAATCTTTTAAAGAACCGTGATTTGATGACTCGTCTAAAGTTTAAGATCGAATCGAAACGATTTGATCAATCGCGATCGACACAGGTCTAATTCGAATCCTCCAATACTGTCATTGTTGCTTTCTTTCTTTCTCTCTCGGTAAAGGGAGAAAATATCCCTAATTATCTTGCAATGTAATTGTTCCATTTGTTTTATCTTTTAAAAGTGTAAAATGTTACGTTAAGAAAGTATTGCTTTAATAGTCTAAACTTGATGTAACAACAAAGTGATAAGTGTGTGTTAAATGTCCGAGTCGGATACAGTCGACGCTCATTGAAACAATCTTGTTTGTGTTTATAATTCAACCCTGCACAATAAAATCACAAAAACTGTTTAAGCACAAATTGATAACATTTTGTCATTTTCTTATTAATCTTTATTGTCAGACTTAATATTAATTAATAATAAAATTAGATGTTCAATAGTAGTGTAAAAACGCTAAGGTAAATCACGATCGTAGTTTCTAGATCGTGAATAACGATGGGTATTGTGTTTCGTGATTGTCTTTTTACTTATTAGTATGGAGAGGCTTTCGCATGATTTAAATCTGGCTTTAGAGGAGAGTAACTGCGGCCGGCAAGAGAGGCGGAAACTAGGACTGAGACGACGGACTAGATCTGCAGGCAATTTGCGTAAGGATTCAATGTTTCTGCTTGAAATTATAGAATTGCAGTCATATTATCGAAATATATTACCTCTTGACCTTGGTACAGTCAACAGCACATCAGGTTATACAAATTATCAAATTTATTCACTTGACCTTAAGCCCTAAAAGATTGACCATAGAGTTGAAAACTAATTGCGATGATTTTGCACATGTACAATGAGGTATATCAATGTTTAACAGCTTGTAGTTCTAGTACATATTCTAGTTAGGGTGTTACATTTTTTTTATATCGTACCTGATATGGTGCTGTGTGTACAAATTGAAGTTGGTATTATTGTAGTGTTAGTACCTCATATTATTGGCCCCTAAATAAAGCTAGGACAGTAACGAAAAAAGTTGTCAAAGATCCACTGAACAAAATGCAGCCATAACTGGTTAGTCACTAGTAAATAAAAAATAAATAAATAGGAATTCTGTGTACCATTACACAGAATGCTATTTAAAGTTCTTATTTTACACACAATTTTTATAAAGATTTGTTGATTTTCACCATATTAATTCAATCAATCAATTTTAATATTTTATGTATTTCTAGCGGCCGCAGTCGCTGTGAGTTTAGTGGAAGATGGTAGTTCAAGTAGTCCACCACAGGCACCATTGATAACTCAACCTTTGTCAGACTCTGATGATCCCCATCTCAGTTTGCACAAATCTAGCAGCCTGAAATCTAGGCAGTATTGCCAGATAGGCAACTTTGAATCAGATTCATTCAATGAGAATTTCTCGCCCACAAGACCAGCCAATGCCAGGAGGAAAAGAAAATACAAAAAGATGCCAGTGGAATACCCTGATGGAAAGAGATCACCGCCAGTTGAGATTCTGAGTGTTACTACTGAGGTGAGTTTGATATAATTGTAAGTAAATTACAATGGAGACAAAGACAAAAATGAAAATGACCATTATTTATTCCTTCATTAAAGAAGCAGATTATTTACATTTAAATGTGCTGAATGTAGGGTCTATTCTAGTAATAAACTTGTCCATATGTTGTTAAGTGGTAGAGATGAAATTGCTTTGTAACTTTCCTGATAACTTCCAAAAGTTTAGGTTATTACAGATAATTTACATTTAAATGTGCTGAATGTAGGGTCTATTCTAGTAATAAACTTGTCCATATGTTGTTAAGCGGTACAGATGAAATTGCTTTGTAACTTTCCTGATAACTTCCAAAACTTCAGGCAGTATTTGAAGTTTTGTGAAGTGAATACTTTATTTGTTGGTTTTTCTTTGTTTCTTGAAATAAAACCTGTAAAACAATTATTTATTACTAATTGCATGTTGTTAATTATACTACTATGTTAAATTATCATCTTTACATTGTTTTTTGCACACAAAATATAGTGTTGTGCACAAAACATACTATAAATATGTAATTAACATTTGTTTAGTTAAATTATTATCACAAATATATTAAATATTATGATTTTTACCTATAGCTAAGCTATAATATGTTTAAAGTTATAATAACATGTAGACATATTTCCAATTATTTCGGGATAATAGTAAACTGAGAATATGCTTCGACATATGTCGGAGATATGGAATTAGTTCGAGCTGATAAATACAGACAGGATGAAAACTGCAAGTAGTTGAATAGAATATTGAATCAACACTACAAAGTAAATAAGAAATGTTTAAATAAATATAAACAGTATCCAGAAGATGTTAAAATGATAATTCAATCTAAAAGAGAAGCTATTACTCTTATTCCAACCATTTTTTAACCAGCACCCTTAACCAGTACTAGTAACCTTTTCTAGCTCTCATAATAGGTACTGTATATGAATTTACTTTCTTGATAATGTTCATTGAAATATGTATATTTAAAAAAATTAGGTGTTGTAACACCTTTTGATGTAGCTCAATGTAGAATAGACATGACTAAATATTATTGTGACACAATAAATATCTGAGTAACAGTTGTTTGTTATTCCACAAATTACTTAATGTATATGAAATAATGCTGTTTTATTCCCATTCTTCTCAGATCAGTTTCCCTTTATTAATTAAGGAAATAGTCTTGGTTAGCCGATGTAATAATCACTTAAATTTGTTTAGATAAATGAAGACACAATTCTCAAGACCCAGTATTTCATTTTTCATTTGCCACACAATATTTTATGCTATTATTGCAAATTTTATGCTTTGCTATTATTGCACCCCTGATATCAGGCTTTCCTATTGTTTGTGTCGGAGGGGGTAATTTTTGTAATTTAAAGTGTTTTTAATTATATTCATTATTAAATGACAAAATTATGTTTCCCAGTTTGGTTTTATTATAGTATATTAGAATGAGACATGTATGTTTATATTTTCAGCCTAATGCCTTACCCACTACAATAGTGCCGCAAACTGAAGGTTTGACTTCAATTCTACATCTGAACAAACATAAACAAGAAAGGTACACAGTAAATGCTGCTACAATATCATAATGATTTAAATTACCATTATATGTTTAGAAAAGCTTTTAGATAGAGTATTCTAGGTACAAGTACATTTTGGAAAATATTTTATGAGGAAATAATATTTTCTCAAATGTTAGCATTAATTAAGAATTCAGTTTAGAAAGCATTCCAAAATTAAAATCCAATATTTCTAATATAAGTTCTTTTAAAAAACATTAAAATTAAGCTTTATCTTTTCAGAAATGCTTTTTGTGGTAAAAGAAAATGGTCTCATAGAGATAAAGGGGATATTTGTGAAATGAGAGAAAGGTCATTTAGTGGTGGTTGTTCGTCTAAATCGTCTTATTTCAAAAACGATTTTAAATGTAAAAAATACGAAAGTGAAAAGAAAAGGAAGGACTCTGTCTTACAACCAGGAAAAATCATATTGAAATCGCAAAACAACGAAGGTTCAAAGACATCTCCATTTTCTAATACTCCCACGTTACCTGGTAGCTCAAGTTTTAATTTTGTCTACAAAAACTCTTCTAAGAATGGGACACCTATACTATCAAAAATGACTGGGTATAGAGTAGCTACTGATCTGCCACCTATTTTCAATCCAACAACAAGCTCAGGGAAACATAACAGAAAATTCAAGGGTTTCAATAAAAGTCACCCACCAAATGCACTTAGAAATCCCTTGCAATTTGAAGATTCAAACAGTGGCATGGATTGTGCAGGAAATGAATCAAGCTCTTTGAGTAGCAGTGATTCAGATGGGGTCGTGACAAATGATAGTGATAGAGAAGGTGATGACGAATTAACCGATTGGCCTGGAATTGAAGAGTTAAAAGTCTTCAACAAGAGCTTGACATTCAAATCATCAAAATCTGTCAATAACAACAATAACTCTCCAAATTCTGTGAATATGCCCCCACCGAAGAGGCTGAAAAAGGAAAAATTGCTTGTGAAAAGTGGCTGGGCCAGTTGTAAAAACAGATTCAAGAAGAAAAGAGCTAAAGTTGATTCAGGTAATGATGACGATGCCATGATGTCAGATTCAAAGACCGTAGTCGATGTTGAAGACGATATGTTTTGTAAGGAGAATCGTGATATATTGCAGCCGCACTCCTCTTTTTCTAGCTTTAGCGATATAAAGAACGCTGGAGTGTCAGGACAGAATGCGAACGAGTCATTTTTTCAATCTTTCCAGGCATTTCAGAAGAGATCGGCTCAACAGGATGAGCGGTTTAGTCAGACGCCGCGCACAAACTTTTCGTTGCAGAAAACTTCATCGAGTGATTTAAACGTCAGCGAGAGATCTCCACAGAGCGATCATTATTTCAGCGAGCATTCCATGGGACATGCCGGAGTTAATGAAGTCAGAGAGATCAGAGCTGGCTGCCGGCGAATAAGGGAAGAGAGACCTGGATTTCTTATATTGAGTGCTGCCAATGAGCAGTTGTCCAAATTTCTACAAGATTCTTGCCAAAGCGAACTGAAGCTGCCGAGTTTCAATGATCCTGGGGAGAAGGCGAAATTGGAATCCTTAGCCAAATTGTATTCGTTGAAGTTACAAGTTGAAATGGGCAGGCCCATTCTTAGAAAAACGAGGTGAAAAATGTTGTAAGTCTTGATAAAATTTTGGATTTACAGAAAGAGTTTTTATTTAAATTTATCTTTTGTATTTTAGTAACACGATGCAGGCAGTTCGCGTAGAACATTCCTATCACAACTTTCCTACTGACCATAAGCGTCGTTGCTATGGAGACGATGCTGATTCAAGTCTCAGTCTCAGTGATAATTCCGTCAATTCAATTAACGATCTCGATGACCGGGACCACGTCAGTAGTAAGCCTAACTTCAGCGATATGGTGGCACAAGACTTGGTGGACACATTCTCAAATACTCACGTCGATAAATCGCTATTGGATCCAGGGGAAGTCGATTAAGGTATAGTTGAATTATCGGTAATTCATCTTGCATTCAGTCGCAATACAATTTCTTAAATCGAGTTTTTTTCTAAAGTTTCACTACGATCTTTATATGTATATATTGGAACGGGTGTTGTTCTCTTAAAACAATAACTGATTTTGAAATACTCATCCAACTTTTAACTATGATTGTGAAGTGAAGTCCTTTTATTATGAAAATTTGAAATAACTGTACTGTTATATCTGAGACAATAAAGAAAAATAATTCTTCTTCATCAATTCAGTGGGTTATAGAACTTCAGAAATAATGATACATTGAAACATACATTGATTCTATCATTGTGATATCATGAGTATGATTAATATAATATATTGTGTACCATTATTTAGTCTTAGACATGTTTTGATTTTGAAAAAAAGTATTTAAGAAATCTACTTTAACATATTGAAAATGTAATGTAACAGACTTAACAACACTAGGTTTAGCGTTGGAGTAAATTTACGCTGAAACTGCACTTAGTATTAGTAAAAATTCATGTTATTAAACAGAGACTTGGCAAAGGTTAACCTAGTACGAGGTTCTACGGGAGTAATATTTTTAATAGGGTTGCTTATTCTGTGTATAATATGAATTTAGACTAATGCTTAAATTGAAATTTTAGAGTAAATTTACTCTGAACCTAAACTTTTATTAATAGCATTGTTAATATCATTAAGCGCATTACTCGGTGTATTTATTACTTTATCTTTATATCATTAGGATATACATTTGGTGGGAATCAACATTATTGGCTTGATACAAGTCACTTAGTATTCGATACTGGTCATATATCTGTACAGGGAAATGAGAGTTTTAATTATAATGTGGTTATGATGATTATATACAGGATGGAATTTAGGGACGGGACAGTAAGGACAGGTAATATTAGATAAATATTTTTTATTGCTTATTAGTGTGAACAAAATGTTCAGAAACGCATGTTTAATTATATTTCTTGTTCTAAAGTTTGGCTGCGTGAGATATACTGAAAGTCGTTTGGTCCAACTGAAATTCTAGTACAGTAACGTTGGATCAAAATATGCCCCAAGTGTTCCAGGTAGAGCAGTTGCTCGGAACGATAAATGTCGTGGGTTTGAGCTCCATCTTGGTGTACCTCGCGCTGGTTGATTTTTAAACATTTTTTCAATAAAGATAGTATGGAATTGTGAATCCAATAAACATCAAATCCATCTAGCGTTAATATCCTTTTCAAATAATCTAATATCTCAACAGTGTATGGATGGTTTATCAGTAACGTTTTATGAAACTGCCTTTACTGTGCCGTCTCCACCTCTAGTATTATGTGGAATTTTACTATATTTTGTGTACCAGTGTAGTGTATAGTCGCACTTTTATAACACAGATATTTACCCTTTTTTTAATTGGCAACATTCTTACATTCCCGTTTACTTTCTTTATCAACATATATCTTACTTTTCAAGAGACATGAAAATAATACATGATTGTCGGTCATATTGTATATTTTCTTTATGAGGAAGTATTTAATAAAAAAATTTGGTTCCCGAAATCAAACTAGATGTCGCTACGTTACGTTCTTGATTTCTCCATGACAACCCTTCCGGTTTTCCTTCGTGTTTAAAAGTAAATTAGTTTTCAAAACTCAATAAACAACTCCATTCTATCTGTAATTTTTCGTATTTGTATTGATATCTAAGTTTCGAACTTTTCAAATTTCAATTTTCTAATATGTTAGTTAAAAGTAACGGAAATTACTGTCTCTGATCCATTCGTTTCCTGCAAAAATCTACTTTTGCTAGAGTCGCCATCTAGTGGAGGTGCTTTTTAGTGCTTTCGTTTTTTTTAAATTCTTCCTCATTTAAAAATATTCTTAATGAAATATGGCACTTTGAGATGGGACTCTAACCCATGATCTTTCGCAAACCGGTCGACCGCTCTAACCCCTGAGCTCTAATCTCAGAGTCTCTGAGTCTGGTGGATTTTTAAGTATTTTTCATTATGAATATTTTCCAGTATAGCATTGTGAATGTAGAATGATATTTTTTGTGTATACGGACCTCTACCCCGAAGCCTACGATATATATTTCCATTATTCCGAGTGCCACGCGAAGTTATAACTCTTTCTTGTATGTGCTATGACGTGTAATGTGATATTCGGCGAATTGTCATGTTGACAGTTTCAGTTATTAACAGTTGTAATTTGTTTCTTAGAAAACTATTATGTACTTAGAAAGTAATTATAAATCAAAACTCTGTGTTGTATGACTTATTCCTCTATTAGTATGAAGTACTAACTGTTTTCCTGCGGCTTCGCACGCATAAGTTATAGCCTATGTCAACCCCGTATGATATAGCTTCGGAGCTAATTCGATACAAACAAACAATCAAATTATCTTTGTCTTTATAATATTAGTATAGATGAGCACGTAATCATATAACTTGGGAACAGAATAAAATACATGGAGTTCATTTCCCTACAAATATGCTTTGATAAAAATACGAGTCAAGATACATGGAATTCATTTCCCTATAAATATGCTTTGATAAATGACATCGCAATAAATACAATTACGTTAATGTGAGAGAGAATTGTGTCTAATGAGATAGTATTTAAAAAAGAACATTAGTTCCCGAAATCTAACTAGATGTCGCCACGATACTTTCTTGATTTCTCCATGACAACCTTTCCGGTTTTCTTTCATGTTTAAATTTTCAAAACTCAATAAACAACTCTTATTCTATTTGTACTTTTTCGTATTTGAATTGATATTTTTGTATCGAATTTTTTTTAATTTTAGATTTTTAATATGTAAGTTAATAGGAACGGAAATGACTGTCTTTGGTCCATTCGTTTCCTGCAAAAATCAACTTTTGCTAGAGCGCCATCTAGTGGAGGTGCTTTTTTAGTGCTTTCTTTTTCTTTAATACTTCCTCATTTGACCGCATAAATAACAAACGCGTCTAGTGATGTGGTATATCCCAAAATATAGCTTACTTATCTTTTACAGCGCATAATAAATTATTTAAATACTCCATGAATACTACGACAATACGATTTGGACCGTGCAATGGCGGCTTCCTCCGATGTGAATATGAAAAGATGCTTGTTTAAAAAAAAAACAAAAATCACGATCTTTAAAAGAAAATATGTTAGGTCAATCAATGTGTAAAAAATACATGTGGTCATAATTATTTTGAAATAAAGAATTGAGTTTTATTATCAACAAATTTTAATTACAACATTTTTCTTAGATTCGACGCTGCAAAAGTAAAAAATAATAAGTACGTTAATATAGCATATTAGATTCAAATGATAATTCTTTAAGTAACATAGCATTGCGTCTGGTTACCATATACTGTGAGAACATCAATCAATTTTAAAGTTTTTGTAACAAATATTAAAGATTTAAATTGATCGGAGAACTTAGGCTAAAAATGTATGCGATAGTATATCTTTCGATTTATAATGATTTATTTAAAAAGTCTATAAAATCGTGACACTATTTAAGGTATATGTTCAGACTGAAAGTAAATTATTTTCATAAAACCCTGCTTTGATATGAATAGTAGTTGCAACCAAGTTGCATTTGAATGTGGCCTAATACTTATCTACTTAAGATACAAAGGGAATGAAATATTTTTTACTATGGAATCGGGCTAGTATAGCAATAGTTGATCAATAGAATCATACATCCTGTTGGCTTTTAACGTTATCCAGTGAATACGTATTTTAATAAGTGTTCCGCTTTATCTTTGGTGGAATGAGAGTTCACGGAGTATATGTATGATGATTTTTTTAATATTTAGGTATGATCTCTCTTGTAGTTTAAATTGTATTTTTTTTTTCCAATAGAATGCTATGAGTAGATTTATTATGATTAATATTTAAGGTTAAGAATTAATAACACTATTAACTTATTATGTATCTCTGTATACTAGTCTATTATTATTACATTGTGGGTTCAAAACTAATTGTTATCAAGCTGGTAAGAGATCAATCCGAGCCAAAAAGGCGAACGAATTTTTTTTTTCTTCACGTTGTAGATAATACTTTTTAAATCTTATGTTTCGTTGTTATTCAGATGGGACAGGGGATATAAGAATTCATACGTTCGGGTGCGTACTGGTGTGCGGAGGTTTATGTATTTTGATAAACTCTTTTTCGGTACACTAGCGCCAGTAGGCTCGATATTCCGTGATTATTGAATGAACTAATTGACATTGAGTAAGTTGACATTGTTTGATATATTATAAACACACCCTCAATATATTTCATGAAAATCTGTTCTATTTTGTGTAAAATAATTGTTGAAGTTTAAATAGCCAAAATCGCGCAAAAAACGCTGCTCTATCTAATGGCGCTGATCACGTGGTATTTGTGACGTCACACGCCAGTAAATATGTCAAGGCGACATAACCTTATTTTTAACTATTTATTTACGAAGTATTACAGAAGAGAAATTTTAATTTTTATGTTTTGTATTCACTCTGTTTTGTTAATAAAAATGAGCTACAAATTGTATGTATAAATACAAATTTTTCGTATACTAATAACACTGTTTTGACATGACAGCTTCCTGTTTACGTGTGACGTCACATGCCGGTAAACAACCTGTTATTGGTTACGACCACAATCAATTGCAGGGCGTTATTTTAATTGATCATAATACGCGACTTATTTTTAAAAGTGTCAAATATCCTATTGGCCTGCTGGTTTATTGCTAACTTTCATCGTTATGATAGATAGTATTTAAGGAATTATATTCAGATCTTTTCCTAATTGAATAAGAGTGATAATTAATATTCAATAACAACTTTAGCCTCATTTGATCTACGGCTGAGCCATATTTAAATATCTACAATGATTTATATATGCTGCAAAATGTTTCCTATCTTTTCCATTTATAAATATAAAAGAATCATAAATATATGTTTACTTGTGTATGTAGTTCAAATTATTATTTCTAATAGTAGTATTGTATTAGAGATCATTCCATCTTCCTGTTCAATAGTGTCTATGTCGTTGTTTTATATATTTAAAATTGGACAATTGAAATATAATTTATAATTGGGGTGTAGATAACATTTTTTTAATATTTTTATTTTATAGATACATGAAATATATCTAAAATATATCATTAATATAAAGTTAAAAATCTTAATAGAAATTTAATTTTCATTTCTCGCGATAACGCAACTTCTGTCATGGCGGCGCTATGACGTCACGGTACTCAAAATCGAATATCGTTCCACGTTTGCATAAGATTGAATTCTCTAAGTTCTGATATAAGTAAGAAGGGCGTGACGTCACGCGCTGTTTGCGGTCACGTGTCAACGAGCATAAAATGTTTGTTTTTTCATAATTAATTTCAGCAATGATATAAACGTAAAAGTGGAATTAAATTTTTTTTTACGTTTATTGTCTACATCCGTATTATGTATTATTAGGCTACGCGCGCATTAGTATTTTCTTTTGGCTACGTGACTTAATGTTTTCTGTCTTTGTGTCGCCAGATTGAAGCACTAACACTTTTTTTTAATAAACTTCCGACGTCATACATCCATTCTTATCTATAGTTGCAAATAAGCAAATATTTTCAACCAATTCACGAGAATTTGAATATAGTAAGAGCTGTTAATAGTAAATAATAATAGTATTCTAACTATTGACATTTCTTACTTCACTCAAATTCTTGTTTATTTGGTAAATATATTTGCTTAAAATATGACATATTCTCAATTCTCATTACTTGAGAATAAGTAATGAGGAAGTATTTAAAAAAAAAACATTAGTTCCCGAAATCAAACTAGATGTCGCTACGGTACGTTCTTGATTTCTCCATGACCATCCTTCCGATTTTCTTTCTTGTTTAACCCTTAACACCACTCGGTATTTTCAGCCTACATATCTACACTCGTGGGGGAGCTATGTCCCCACTTTTTATGGTTATTATTCAAGTAATAAAATATAGGATATTTTAGGATTTATATTTATAACATAAATAAAAAACATATATTCTATGAAAATAAACACTTTTATTTAGGTTTCATAATCATAATTAATATTTCTAGTGTGAAATAAAAAAACTACGAAAAATCTCGTCACATTCATGGGGTCTATTTTACTGACTCAATATAAATAAATAAAAAATGCTTTGGAACAAAAAATTTTTTTTTCTAATAACCTATATTACTTTTTAACCAAAACTGTCATAAAATCTTGAATAAATTTTAAAACATGCAAAATCACAAGGAGAATATTCGACTTAGTTTACCAAAAAAAATTTACCTTAATCTGTTAACATATTATCAGTCTCATTAAATTACTCTCAAAAATTTGATTATAACGTACTTAAAACTTATGACTCACATTTAGTACATATTTTTACATCAACAGAGTGGTTCCGACAAACATTTTTCACACATTTCAAACACACCCTTGGAGTATTACTGTCTTTGCTTCGTGGACACAAATGACACCTAGATTTTTTAGCCCCTTGCTTTGGCTCGGGTCTTGTTTTGGTTGATCTTCAGCTACATCAACACCAACCTCTTGTAGGAACCTATCCATCATATCTTTCAGCTCCCTCGAAAGGTTAGAAGAGCGTCTTCTTTCTTGAACATGAGGAGTTACTAAAGTATACCCAAGTTCTTCTAAAAACTTATAACGACTCTTGCTTTTGTGAGGATTAGATGCGCCGTAAAGGACATGACTGTTTACTCCGGAAATACTGGGCAAAATATTGTGGTCGGCCATGTTTGACTTCTCTGGTTCACAGAGTAAGCAGCACACTTCTGGTCTAAAGCATCTACGCCACCTTTGGTAGAATTGTAACAATCTCGGGTTTTTTGGTTTTGGTTTGGTCCATTGTTATACGTCATTACAGTTATACTGACGTCATTTAATAGCCTTTCTATCTGCTGGGCATTTAAATTCTTACTCATACTGCACCAAAAACCCAAAAATGTAGATATAAAAGATTATTATCAACATTAAATACTTACGTAACTACACTCATGGGGGACCTAGGTCCCGCAACAACACGTGCCTCACAAACTTCCAACGCTAGCACGACGTACGTTTGCACACCAACAGCTTTCGGGAGTCACTGGGAATACTCGAAACCGCGACCGCGTCGCGTTCAAAATATTTGTATAATTTGTAAAAAACAGAGCGCTGGGGGACCTAGGTCCCCCACGAGTGGTGCTAAGGGTTAAAAGTAAATTAGTTTTCTAAACTCAATAAACAACTCATATTCTTTTTGTGCTTTTTCGTATTTGTATTGATCTAAGTTTCAAACTTTTCAAATTTAAGTGTTTTGATATGTTAGTTAAAAGGAACGGAAATGACTGTCTTTGGTCCATTCCTGTAAAAATCAACATTTGTTAGAGTCGCCATCTAGGGGAGGTGTTTTTTTAGTGCTTTCGTTTTTTTTAAGTAATTCCTCATTATTTCTCACGACTATAGAGCCGTGTCACAGAGTAGCGAGGAAAGAGAAAATAAATAGTGAGCATAGAAGGAATTCAATATTTTATATATTTACACATCGAATGACTCATTTTAAGAAAGAAGGAAATTAATCATTTTCTAAATACAAAATGTTTGAAAAAGTTTCTTTGTTTACTATATGTGCTTATGCTTTCATCTGCGCCGAGATTCGCGTAATCTTCTTTGTTGTCAGATGCGCGCGCGCATAGCCAAACAGATAGTCTTTGCATGAGTTAACGAACTTGATATTTAAGTTTAAAGTGCCATTACCTGCTGTGTCTATTTATATAATTATAATCTTTAGATTATATTTAATATTCTGGATATAATTTAGAAGCTATTATTGAGAATCTTTGTTAATGCTAGTTCTCAGGAAGTACATATATGCAAGCGACACTTTTAGATCATTAGACTTAATGTGGAATCTATGGCCTAATTGTCTGGTTTTATAATCTATCACAACTTCTTTTGTCATTTGAAAAATATTCCCAAACTTCACAATTTATTCACTAGTGTATCATCGCCATCTTTCATTCATTTCATTTCACATGTAGAAATTAATTTATTCACTTGAAATTGGCAGAATTGTGCGAAATGAGCAGAAAAGCCATTAATAAAAGAATAAGAAGAATACAAGACGATTTTTTACATTTTTATTTTAGATAATATATATTTGAAAAATATTGTAAAAATATATATATATATAAAATATCTCATACCTATATTAATTTAAAATACAAAAATAAGATTATTTGTCAAAATTTCTCGTTAAAACGCTGTCATGGTGACGATGTGACGTCACAGCCCTCTGAAACTAACATAAACAATACAACAATAAACTTCGTTTTATGCACAGTTCTATGTATGTCAAAGTCAAATATATGACATCTTCCTCAGAGGGCTGTGACGTCACGCGCTGTTTGCAGTCACTCGTATAAAATAAGTCACAACGAGTATAAAATAAGTGTTTTTTTCCATAATTACAATAATATTATAAATTTGATTATTGGTATATTAAATACTTCCAGGAAAAAAATATTTAGTTTCGTTTATTGTCTACACACGTATTGCGATCGCGATGTTTTTTTTATGTTGAATGAACGATCACGTTTACTTGACGGTAATCGGAATTGATAGTTACTAGTATCTTTTAAAGGAAATATCAAATGAAATTGTCTATGACATTTATATCAATGAAATCATCATGCGTTCCAAAAGCTATTGTGACTTTAAAAGTTACACAACTCCATAAATCACTATCACAACCGCTATACGTTTGAAAAGGATTGTGTTAGATTATAAAATTAGACATTTAGTCACTAATTTGTCTTTTGTTGTTACTTATATCTCAACATGTATTTTTTTGTAGATAAATCGCTGATAAAACATTTTACTATTCATACAGAAAAAAATATGTACTTATTAGATCGTCTCATATTGTCAGTCTACTGATGGCAGTGCCATTCTCTCAGGTTTTGTAATGAATTGTTGACTGATTATCAGTTATAGGGGAAAATTGCTATATCGGGAGAAAAATGAGGGATTATCTCTGTGGCACTGCCGACTAGCGTTAGCACGGCAGCGCCACAGCAAAAAATATTGGTTTATAGTGAACTTCCAAAAAATGCAAGCGGCGCTGCTGAAGTAATAGATACTAACTTATTGTCAGTTATGTACAATACTTTAATTGAATTTGAAAGACTATTTAATTGTATAATAATAATAATTATTGATAAGTGTTTAACTTGATATACGTTTAGAGTAATTTCTATATTGTTTATGATCAAAATTGTGTATATGAATCGTGTTATATGATTGGGATTAATATTGTATTATTAAAATGAGAATACAAAATATACTTTTTAATTAAGAACAGGTTTTTTAATTTCCAAAAATTGAAAAAGTCTAATTTTCACTCCAGATCCGTAACGGGTAAAACCAAAGTCATTTTATAATATAAGGATTTTATTAAATAAAAATACAAACATATAAATAACAATAAAAATTGTAAGTAACAAATGAGCACCAAAACTTTAAAAAATTTATAAGATAATTAAAACAATAACTATTACCTAAAAAAATGTAAATAAAAATATCGTTCCTCTACAATAGGATGGAATGACTAATCTAACTAATAAACTTCCTTCAAATTTTCGAGAAGTCTTAACGCCGTACTTAGAAACGCTAAATGACAATTTTTGTTGACTTTATTTGAAAAAATTTACTTTATTTAAATCGTGTTTAGTCTAAGTTTTTCTTAAATAATCATTAAACGTCTCTGAATGCGTCAGTTAATTTATATATAAATTTTGTACTGTAAAAGTGATGTGTATATTTCATAGACACTATATTATAATAAGTGACATATCACAGATGTACTCTGTATGACGTATTGAATAAATTATCAAAAAATTAATTAACACACTTCTTAAGTGATAATGTCTTTTAAGCACACAAAATATTTCAATATATATGTATATATATTTTAATAACATTATAATAGCAGTCCAATCACGTTTTCATTCGCACCATTTTAAACTTAAATCAACAAATAATATATCAGGAAGATTCTTATTTTTGATATTTTTTGCATTTATAATGCTATATAGATATTTATCTTCTATGTATGCTATATAAATATGCTTGAGACGGTCGCGTATTTTAAAAATATTTTTTTTTCTATATTACAAAATCACAACTCATTCATTCGCTTCAAACAAAATTCAACCTTCTTTCGTTCACTCTATGGTGCAAATTAGATCGTCGCCTTCCAGTTTCTGTCCGTTGGAGATTGCTACGTTCTTGACTTCACCGGCCATGGGCGCTTGAACGATCATTTCCATTTTCATAGCAGAGAGGACAGCTATCGGTTGGCCCTTCTCCACTTTATCACCCTCTTTCACCTTTATTGCTGTGATAATTAAAACGTGCCAATATTAATTAATCTCAATTGTAACAATGTGTTGTAGAGCTAATAGTATCTATATAAAGTCAAAATTCTTAAATCGATTTAAAGTCTTAATATCTTGTCGTTTGTTTTTTTTTTATGTAACCTGAAGTGCTGCAATGCAATGTACATTTAATACTACCATCATTATTAGTCTATTAATGTCTCCTCTGCCAGGGCCTTCCCTAAGTATGGAATCGAATAAGGAGATTGGGCTATATCCACCGCGGGCCCAGTGTGGATTGGTGGGCTTTGAAGACTGCAGATGCAGCCGGGACCAAGTGCTTAAGGCTTAAAGTACCTTGCGAAGCACGCAAGAGGAGCTCGAGATAATAAATTTTGGGTCACCCATCCTGAGACTTAAATAAAGTATTATTGGCTTTCAGTTAGTAAATATTAGTCAAATAATAAGTGTTTTAAGACTTTTCACGAATAACTGACGCTTGAAAGACCGGTGCTTCGAGTCTCTTCTTGAATACCACGATTTGTATCATGTAAATTCTGCTTTGTTCTTCAATCAACAGTAAAATAATATTTGTACTAGACTTATTAATGAATGTTCAAATTTAACCAATTTGTTGCTTTGTTATTGAATATAAAAAAGTTATAAATAAATCGTTATAAACTTACTCAACACAGTTCCGGGCATGGGAGCACCAACTTGGTGTTTATCACCTTTCACAGCTTTCGGGTGGATCTTCATTTCCTGATAAAAAAAAAAACAAATTAAACAACATCACATACATTGCTCAGATTCCAAGATGAGTAGCTAAAGTCGCCGTGTTATAGAGTATCTGAGACAACGAAGGTGCCACAACGCCCAGATACGAGACAATGTTTACATTGGCAAAGAAAAGGTTTCTACATTGGCCCGACTGGGAATCCCGAAATTTTAAAATCTGCCCTGCGATTTTGAATTCACTCAGGTGTCTGAATATACTTCAAAAATGCGCATTCGCATGGCAAAAATGAAGTGAGTTTCGAAATGACATAGGAATAAAATTCTGAGACACGTATATTCAATCAATTATATTTTGGTATTTTTACATAAAAATTGGAATCAGCAGAATTTCTATACTAAAACGACGTGAAACGACGGACATCTGAGTAAATTAGAATTGTAACATTAAAGTTCCAATAGAAAAATTAATTATTATTTATGTACTTATACTATAATATATAATCGAAAATTTGCAATACGGCCCTAGACTGTAAACGAAAATAAATACACATTATTATTTACATACATACACATAACCGATAATATTACCGATAATCACACTTATGCCGTGGCGTTATAGCGACGCCATTGCAGAACTTAGCATTTATGCGGGAAATTTTGAAAATTAAATTTATTTATAGATTTTAACTTATTATCAGAGGTCGGAATTAGGTAGAGTTATTTATGTACTTGCATCGAAATGTTGATATTAATGTGGACCTTCCCGGGATTTCTTTCTTTCATTGATGTAAGTTTGGCAACGTCGTGCGTGCAGTAGTTTAAATTGTGTAAAAGTAAATAACTTTTTATTTAAAAATTCACGGATTCTTTCGGCTCTTTAAAATTAATCTCGGGATTTGAGGCATATCCACTTTATTCTTTCGCTGTATGAAATCAGTGTAAGTACATGAATAACTCTACCTAATTCCGACCACTGCTTATTACAAAAATAAATATATCTATAAAATAAAGTTGTCTACACCTCTATTGATAAACATATATCAATTGCAAAATATTGATATATGATTGTGAAATTATTCTTTAAATATTAACGTGTTTACCTTGCTCGCGTTCTCGTCCCTTATAAACACAGAACGCAGCTGTCCATTCAGTTCAAAGAACACTTCCCTCTCGCCCGCTGCGGTCATCTCTTCGGACACGGCGAGAGTTCTAATATCCAACGTCTTTCCTCTTTCGATCTTGACTTCTATAGTGTCGCCAACCTTTAGTTGAATAATACACACATTATTTATTTCACACTGTATAGACCAGATTGACGCAAATTCATTTATTTAGACTATGGACAGCATTTTTATTACAACATTATTTAGAGAATAACAATAGGCTAATAATTAGCCGTGTGCCGATGCTCTAATTATTGGATACCACAAATATTATCGGGTACCTTTTGGAGTGATCGCATCGGAAACAAACGGCGTTGTAGAAATCTTTTTCTCGACGTCGTGTCGCCGTTGTTCACTCGCCAAAAAGTGCCTACACACTTGAAAACCGACTTGATATTATATATATATGGTATATTGTGGTGTTTTATTTTTCCTTTCCATCGAATCTAACTACTATTATTGCAGGTACCTATTTCTTACGACTGTCTTCTTCAAATAGTTAGCTAGGACAGGGCGCCGTGAGAAAATATTAAACTTGTAATTGCGCCGCGGGTTACAAAAGATTGGGAACCCCTGGGCTAATTGATAATATTTATTTTTTAAATAAATAGCCCATTAATATCCGAGGAATAATGTAGAAGTAACAGTATGTCTAGGATTAATAATTTCGGAGATATAGTGATATGTTTATGGAACTGCTGCTAGTCAGCTAAAAACACTCCCTACAAATTCAAGCAACTAAGTGACGTCACACAGTGCTACGGTAACGATAACGTATGGGTGGGTGTCTGCTCAATTTTTGTACGTTTTATATACAAAGAAAACGAAACCGGGAGCTCGGAGATGGCGACGCCTTGAAACCGGCGTGCAAACCACTACGGTACAGAGGTCGTCATGAATATATTGTAAGTATAGTTAAAAATAATCGATTGCTGAAATATTTCATTACTAATTTTATGTGGTTTAATACTCACAGTGGGTCCAGTGAGGAATGTCTTCGTGTCCAAATGCTTCACAGGTCCGTATTTGTCCCGTATGCGGAAGAAGTCGTTGGCCACTTGCGGGTACATGGCGGCTGACATCACATCTTCGTCACTCAACTGCAAATTGAAATGGTCCATGTTACATAATATTACAACTCATTTTATTATTCATATGGCAAAAAGTCTTAGTTTTATCAAATCGCTGTCAACTGATCATTAAAAAAATATTAATCAGTTATGAAAACCTGTTTAAAATGGCTTAAGCACGGTTTGAGACGTGCACAACTTCAGATTCTCAATTCAGAAACCGGGTGAATGACATGAAAAATATAAAATTTTTCTTTAAAAATACACGCGATAAATCAGTTTAAGGTTGTTTTATTCATTAATTTACATTATACACCCATCATTGGGTTACTGAAATATCAAATATACCAAACAGGGAACAAAAATTCGTAATAAGCTGTAACAAACAGACGGTCACACAACTGGTGCTATAAGGGTTTCATCATTTACTTATTTTTTTATATGGACGGCTAAAAACTTGAACTTACCCCAGAATAACTTTCCGATAGGTCTTCTTTAAGTTTATTGAAGTCAAGAGGAGGTAGCTCTGCACCTGGACGACCTTCTATCCTCGGCATATCCTTAAGGACCTTGGATCTGAAAGGATGATTACATTGTGGCAACCTGCTTTTTCTCATTGACAAATGAATTTATAATTCACATCTATGTTACTGAATAAAACCTGTGTGCGACTGCTTTGTGCCATCTTTGATATGGATGTGTATTCAATATCCGGTCGCGTCATTATCCTATTTATATTATAAATGTGAAAGTTTCTTTGTTTGGATGTTTGTCGGTCAATCACACCGAAACTAATAAACGGATTTTTATGAAATTTGGTATACAGATAGGGTATTAGCTGACTTAGATAATAGGATACTTTTTATCCCACTAAACATTAACCTAGGGACCACGCGGGCGAAGCCGTTGGCGAAAGCTAGTGTTATATAATTCTCCAGTGTGAGTGTTGTGTTCAATTTGTTTTTTATTTTTATTTCCAATATAAAAGGGACACTTCATTTGGAATCATCAAGAATACTTTTCTATCTTTATTATTGCGGAAGACATCTTAGCCTTACTAGGTATGATAAGTTTAAACAGTATGGTTTCAACTTATGTAGTATATAAGATGAAACATATATGGGTGCATATCAGCAGGCCTATTCGCTAACTCAACTGACAACATAAAGTCATAAACACCGTAAAAAGTGAGCAACTCCAATGTGTCAAAATCATTTATACGTATGTGCATCCCGGACAAACCTTCGTGGTTTTTGGCTTGTACTAATATAAATTGTAATGTTAATGGTATTTATAATAAATAGAAAAAAAGAAAAAAAAGGCAGAATGTTTGACTGAATTTAAATTTTAAAATTGACGAGTGGTGGGTACTTTAATTTTTTTTTTGGTAATATCAAAGTACGAAATAAGTGGGAGACAATAGTAACCTGAGTTTCATGCCGGTACTTTTCAGTGCAAGATTTCCAGACCTTTCAACCAAGACAGAAACTTCGATTAACTTTATCCCCGGCGCCTTAACTTTATACCCCTCCATTTACACTACATGAAGTGAATATTATGGTCCATGGGGGGGGGGGGGTAAGTATACCCCCCCCCATGGATCAGGCCCTGTATCCCGCCATAGATTTACGGACCGACGACAAAGCTTTCGACATTCACAAGTGCTTGTAACAGCCAAAACTGAATATTTATTAGAATATTTATATTACATATATGTGTGTTGGTAATGATTTTAAGTATTATGATATTTTATACTATACATATTTTTATTTAATTATTTACATATTTAACTTCTATTATAAACGTGGAGTAATGGTGCTCTCAAGAAAGAAGACCACGGAGGATCAGCGTCTGGTTGGCTAACAGCCAATTGCACAAACGTCATTAAAATTGTCATTAGTTTAAAACGACATTACTCATACAAATTTGACGTTCATTAGAGCTTAGACGTCTTAAACCTTTAATATACGTTTGTGCAACTCATAGTAAGACTCTTCAGTGTCATATTAATAGAAATAATATCCTTTTTGTATTTTTTTTTGTTGTATTTTTTACTATATGTGTTAAAACTGCCATTTACGGCCCCCGTACTATTCCCTATTAAAAAGAAACATCGAACTCACCTGAGCGGTTCAGGGAATCCACCATACGGTATTCCGATAGCTCCCTGCAAGTATTCCACCACAGACTTGGGGAAGGATAGTTCCTCCGCTCGCTCCTCGATCTCCTTAGCGGTTAGCTTGTTCTGGACCATGAACTGAGCCAGGTCACCAACCACTTTAGACGACGGAGTAACTTTGATGATATCGCCCAGTAAGAGATTCGCTTCCCTGTTAAAGAAATTACGTGTAAGACGCGATTTTTTATCATCATCAGTCTATTAATGTCCTTCTGCCGGGGCATAGGAATTCCCTATGGATGGAATCGAATAGGGAGAATGGGCCTTTACCCACGCTAGTCTGGTGTAGATTAATGGGTGTTAACGATATCAGGTGCACCCGGGACCAATGGCATAACGTGCTCTCTAAATTTTTGGTCACCCATCATATGATCTGCCCTAGCGAAAGCTGCTCAACTTCCACATCGCAGCCTGAACGCCGCTAAATCGCTATTGAGCACATGAATTTAAGAAGGGAGAAAAAGATTAACTTTATTCAAATGATTTGCATCGGTACTATCCATTTGTTATCAATAAAAAAAGGAAATAGGAAATGGTAATTTATATGTTAGTAGTGTTTTTTGTTTTGGCAAAATTAACTTGCGATATATAATCTGTAGATTACAAACGAAACGCGTGTGGCCAAAACGAACCATCGTGTGACGTCACATTTCAATAAACTAAACGTTAACATCTTTGTTGCGAATGCAACCAGTACCCATTTATTGAAATGTGACAGCACAGCTCGAAAAGTTACATGACTGATTATTTTCACGTAATGAATGAATGAATAAAAATGTGTTTTCTTTATTAAATATATGTAATAATCATTAGCCCTTTTACAACCCCACTGCAGGCGCTCAGGTCTTCCTTACGTATGGTTCAGAAGCATTGGTTATAACTCTCCACGCGGGCCTAAAGCCGATTGGAGGGTATTAATGACTGTAGATGCAGGCCGGGACCCACGGATTAACGTGCCTTCCGAATCACGGAGTGGCTTGAGATAATAATTTTTGGTCACCCATCCCGTGACCGACCGTTGCGAAAGTTGTTTAACAACAACGATCGCAGGCCACGGCGCTTATCCCCTACGCCACCGAACAACTCATGATTATATGAACTTTAAAACAGCCAAAATCTTCAGTTTATACACACCTGTAAGCTTTCTTGACTTGTTCAAACTGAGTGCCCAGACCGAGTGAGAACGCTTGGAACTGTAGATTGGTGTACTGCCCTCCAGGTATTTCGTTCATATACACGTCAGCATTACCAGATTTCATTGTGGCCGTGCATTCGAACGGTCCGTATAATGTGCGAGCTTGTTCCCAATAAGCAGAGTATTCAGATATCTTCTGTAGAGGGATACCTGTTATAAAATATGATAATGTTATATTTTTGTAATAGACGAAAGGTACTGTAACGTCCGTGCACATTACTATAGGGTGGTTTACTCTTCGAACGGTTTATGGTCAAGTGCTGGCCGATAATATTTCAAATTATTACTTTTCGTATTCGAATTCGCGTGTTCATGTTTTGCTGGTTGTCAATCTTCCCTTTCTGATCGAGACCAGTTCATAGTGAGTATCATAGTTTTTGGTTGTAAGTGTGCTAATGTAATACTAATTGAAAATAAATCAAGACTGAGGAGTTCTACCAGTTTTTTCATTGCGCCACCCACCTCCACCATTAGACTTAGTTGCCAGAGTACTACGTTACCATGTCTCGCCGTCGCCATGTGAGCTCAGTAGCGAAAGCATAACTATCACGTATCTAAGGATGGATTATTTCGTTTCATTTTACCATTATGACATTTATGTTTTTTATTTTTACCCTGCTTGTTATCAAAGAGTATAATAATTTTTTGAATGACATTCAGAGAAAGTGACGTTTTGCAAGGGGCCGTACATAAATTACGTCACACAAAATTCATGATTTTTTAACCCCCCCCCCCCTCCCTTCTGTCACAAATTCTACTAAATATTGTTCTAATGTTACAGTTCGTTGATCCCCCCCTCCTAACGTGTGACGTAATTTATTGATGGGCCCAAAGTGACATCGAACGAAATTGATTTTTGCTAAATTACTTTCTGAGAAAATTAACTTCTGCGAATATGACTGCAACTTTTTCGAGATGATATTCAAAATATCAGAAAGTGTCATGCCACATTAAAACCTTAATTCGTACGAGTAATTACCGGTATCGATGTTCGTGCCCTGTAACGAGGCTACGACTGCTCCCATACTAGGTTGACTGGTCATCCCCGACATGGAATCCACCGCCACGTCCACCACGTCCGCTCCCGCTCGTGCGCACGCTAGCATCGAAGCCACGCCCGCACCGGACGTGTCGTGAGTGTGCACGTGAATCGGAACGTCTGGGTGTCTATCCCTGATAGCTTTGATGAGGAGTCTACAAGAAAATAGTTTATTTAGATATATATGATTACTAGTGGACGCCCGCGACTTCGTCCGCGTGGAAGTCGGTATCCCGTGGGAGTGAGAAGTTTTCCCAGTAAAAAGTACCCTATGTGTTATTCTGATGTATAACCTATATTGCTGTAAAGTTTTATCCAAATCCGTCCAGTAGTTTTTTCGTGAAAGAGTAACAAACATCCATACATCCATACTTACAAACTTTCGCCTTTATAATATTAATAGGATAGACGAACCTTTATATTTCGATCTTTTATTGGCACAAGCAATTTGACAGTTTGACAGAAGCATTTTTGTCGTTGTAGGCTCTTAAATCTAGCCATAAAAAATGTATAAGTAACGTTTCTTGTTTTTATGATTGTATTGTTTTTTTAATTTTTAAGTGTTGGTGTCTGTGGTCACAACTGGTTTCAGCAGAACACCAGTGCGGCTCTCTACCATACTGAACTGAGTCCAATATTGGCAATTCATATGTTTTCGTTTTTTTGCTTAATGATTTGTGTTGTTGTGCGTGCTATGTGTGCTAACAATAAATTATTTTTCTTTCTTTATATAATCTTCTCTTCTTCCAACAAGAACAATTATCTTCTTATAAGAAATTAACCATGACATTTTGTATGTAGGAACAAACACCAGCGCGTTAACTTTAATAAATTGAGTGTAGAGTTCAAATCAATAGCGGAAATTTGACATATTGTAGCATCCTGACGTGCACCTGTGTGTACACCGCAAATGAATCAGAATGGAACGCGGCGAAAAAAAAAAAAGAATTTTTTAAATTGTCATCTGTCATTGATTTGCGAGGTTTTAAAAAAACCATATATATAAAACATGCTAAAAATTCACCAATCGTATACTAAAGAACTTTAAAACATTTTCTATAGAATAAAAATCAATATAGCATTGCTTAATACATTATTTATCAAATAAATATTAAAAAAAATAGTCTCTTTTGCTAACATCAATTCTATTTTATCTGTACATTTTAAAATAAATCTTATTATCTACTTACTCAGCGGCCTGTGGTTTTAGCAGTCCAGCCATATCTTTGATAGCCAATATGTGTGTTCCCGCTTTCACCAGCTCATCAGCCAAATTAACATAGTATTTGAGATCGTATTTCTTCTTGTTGGGATCGGAAACATCGCCTGTGTACGAGATGGCGGCTTCTACGACTCCGCCGGCTTTACCGGCCGCGTCCATGCCCAGTATCAAGTTAGGCAGGTAGTTGAGGGAATCGAACACTCTAAAAATGTCCATACCGGCTTGTACCTGAAATAATTTTAAAAATCTTGGTCCAGCAACGTCAGAACCCTGTGGTCTAATTTATCTATCACAATCCCTTTCAAACGTATAACGTTTGTTAGTGATTTATGGAATTGTGTAACTTTTGAAGTCACAATTGTTTTTGTAACGAATATAAAAGTCATAGACAATTCATTTCGTTTAACTTTTGCTAATAGCTCAGAGGAGATACTTTGCTTAGACAATTTCGATTAACGTCAAATAAAGGTTATCGTTCATTTAATAGCGTTCATAAAAGTCGCGATTGCAACGAGGAAGTATAAAAAAAACATTAGTTCCCGAAATCAAACTAGATGTCGCTATGGTACTTTTTGATTTCTCCATGACAACCCTTCCGGTTTACTTTCATGTATAAAAGTAAATTAGTTTTCCAAACTCAATAAACAACTCATATTCTTTTTATGCTTTTTCGTATTTGTATTAAAATCTAAGTTTCGAATTTTACAAATTTCAGGTTTTTTAATATGTTAGTTAAAAGGAAGGGAAATGACCATCTATGGTCCATTCGTTTCCTGCAAAAATCAACCTTTGAAAAAGTCGCCATCTAGTGGAGGTGTTTTTCTAGTGATTTCTATTTTTTAAAAACTTCCTCATTGCTGTCACATGTCAAATAGTTGTAGCGTGAAGTTCGTCAATATCTTTCAAATTCAAAAAATAGGGACTTATACTTACTGCCATGTCGCAGAATTTGTATACTACGTTGTCAGGATAGTTCGTGTATCCTACTGCGTTCGCGCCACGAAGTAGCATTTGGAAAGGAATGTTCGGTATCAAAGCGCGCATGTCACGAAGACGCTCCCATGGACATTCGTGGAGGAACCTAAAAATACAAAATAAGTTGCAAGTGAGGTCAAAAATGTTTCTTTTTTTATGAAGATTAAGAACTCATATGGAAAGAGTAATTTATGTTTACGTGAATAACGGTCAATTGCACAATCTTTCATTAAGGTTTAATGCTCTAATAAATGTCAATGTCAAATTAAGCTCCAATGAATGTCAAATTTGAATGAAAATAAAAAAAACTAATAAAGATTTTAATGGACGTTTGTGCAACTGGCTGTATGTCCGCTGTACGCTGGAACCTTCTCAAATAACATCTGCGTGACATCATTTGAACATAGAAAGTATAGATAGCACAAAATGCAAGAGAACATTTTTTATTAATTATTGAAATATTTATGAATAGTCTCCAAAAGTATTGTTGAAAAAATTAAAAAACTCTAAGATTGTTAACTTATTGGATATTTTTTTGGAAAAATCAATTTATATGTGAATATTCAGGTATATCGAAAATTAAAAAATATATGAAAAAGAATTACATTTACTTTGCAATAACGCGAAAACAAAAGGGAAAGAGACATTAGATATTTATTTTTAGTGAAATTATGATAAATAAAATTGTGTGTGATCTCAAATCACCCAATTCCATGAGTGTACACTTCAACCAGTGTTTATTTGTTAACGGTACTGATCGTTGAATGCAACTACGTCACCAAAATGGAGGACAGGAGCATAGCAATATGCGGGGATTATACGACTCATGACTCTAGTCTCTAATATTCATTATTAAATTTTCTGTCTACTGTCTACTAAGAGTTTCATAGTCTACTAGCGATTATTATGAGTCGCTATTAGACTATTAAATCAAATACTTTTGACGTTACTATCTAAGTATAACGTCAAAAGTGGCTAAATTACCTGGAGAATGAAAATTATTGTAGAAGGTGCGGTGAAATAAATAACTTTAACTGATAGTCCATTTGTCTATGAACCGCTAGTAGACCAATAAACAAAAATACTAGTTTCTGGTTATATTACCTAAGTGCAACGTCAAATGTGGCGCCTCCCCAATTCTCTAGCGAATACAAATTGCTGAAATTATGCGCGACGTACGGCGACACGGCGAGTAAGTCGTGACTTCTGACGCGAGTCGCTAATAATGACTGATGGGCATCTCTATATGTGGTATCCATAAGTAAGAGGCCTTTGTTTCTTCTGACCGCTTTTGCGAATGCTTCTGGCCCACCCTCTTGAAGTATTTGCTTGTAACCTCTTGGAGGTTGGACAGCTGAAGCGATTACATTTATCTTGTTATACAAACAAATAAACTAACAACTCTATCATATATCTGTGATTTTTGACGAGTTTACCTAAACTTTTTGATTAATAAATGTATTAAGTGTTATGAGCTCGATAGTGGTTTTATAACATCGAACGATTTAAAATTTGTCTCAAGTTTCTAAAGGTACATTAAGTATAGTCCTTTGATCCCATCAATCTACACTGGACCCTCGTTATAGTAAATATATATCTTTCTACATGGAATTCTTATGTCCTCCTGACTAGGCTGATTGTGAATTGTATATTTGTTCTTTGTTGACAATTTGATAGGAATACAACTATGAATTGGCATACGATTTAAGTATAGCAAAAACGCATACATTGCGGCTGGCGTTTTCAATCATCTAATGCGTGCACTTGTATAGAAGGCTGTGTTACATTTATCCTTTCAGTCCAGAATGTCCAATTCCCGTGATGTCCAATCCCCAAAATGAACAAAATATACTAGTATAATGATGGGTTTGTTGAACACACTAGTAAATAACATATAACAAACAATTTATATAAGTGCTGGTGCTAAGTGCTAAGTGGCTTGTCATATAAATATTAAGCATTAACAACTTGCTACTTAACAAACCCATCATAATAATAAATTGGATTTTGGGAATTGGACTTTATGGGAACTGGACATTTCAGAAATTAAGACATTTTGGGAATAGAACATTTCGGTAATTGGACATTCTGAAATGAATTGCAGTTTCGGACTTGCGTCGGAGCTATGTTAGATGTTTTGAATACACTTTGCTATGATTTGAAAGACATTGCTAAGAATTTAAGTAAATGTCTACTGTTACAATAAAAGACGTTGCTAAGAATGTAAGTAAGGATACAATAGGCATTGATTATAAACAAGTTCTCTAGTCAAATACAAAATGTATATTATAGCTTTAAAATAATTATTTTAAATATTGACTATGAGAACTGTATGATTGTATTTAATTAAATTGATTAATAAAAAGTACTAATATCACATACTAAAATGAATCTTATGCAACTGAAATACTGTCGAAATTAATTTATACATTGTGCAAGTTAATATTAGTTTTTTATTGACAGTTAAAGACAAACACAAAAAGCAAATACCAAAAGTTGAGTAAAAATGGATGAAACACTTAATGAATCATGGTACAAAATGGATAAAAACAATGTGAAAATGTAACCAAAAAGGGATTTACCTGTATTCTCGCCTGTTAGTTCCTGTCTTTTAATGGCCTCGGGGGAAAGGTCTGAAAAATATGTTACGTAAACAGTAATGATTGGGTGCAACAATGTCTATGATGTGCACACACATTAATAATGGACGATGAGACACCCGATATAATGCTACCTGTATAGTGACCGAGATATTTCAGAGCCATAGTGTGATTTTGATTATAAAAATCTTATAAATATCTAAATAGCGATTTATTTGCTTAAAAATTTAATGGAATGAATTTTACTTGTCATCATTTAACAGTTTCATTATCACGACAGGCATAGTGATTTAATATAAAGAGTCTAGACATAACTAGAATAAGCTTTAAGAAAAACAAAATTGTGGTGCTAAAAATTTTTTGAAAGGAATTCGGAACGTGCGGTCAAACTTGAGAGAAATATGGGTGTGAAAGTGGAGATAAATGGGAGGGGAATTAAAGTAGAAAGTATGAAAGAGACTGGAAATTTAGGTACTCTGGAAAGGGATGGTCTGACTTGAAAGAATAGGGGAGTGAAAGTGGAGAGAAATGGGGGAGTCAAGGTGGAGAGGATGAAGGGACAAAAATGACGACTGATTGAGACATTAGTGCAATTGTTATTGTTTAAATAGAACTAAAAAAATCTTTGGTAGTCTCTATTGCTTCGAAATATCTTTGTCTAATACAATCAAGATACTAATTGCTTATAACATAAATTAAAATTATGAAATATTTGTGCATTATTAGGCAAACAATCAGTGGCATTCTTAAACTGTTAAATAAAATATTACCACCCAATACGAGGGTGAAGTATGAAATTTTAGTAGCAACATAATAAAACTATTTTAATGAAACAACAAAAACTCCGCATTCCATTTAAGAAGCGAATAAATAAATATATAAATCTACATTTTTACCGCCCACACATATAATACAAAGTTGATTTAAACCTACCATGTCCAGGTCGGACTGTAAAAGAAAATTGTAGTTATATTATTTTATGCAGCCGAGTAAAATTTCATCCTCCATATTATTATAATGTACTTTTTTTTTCATCAAACTATAATTAGGAACGAGAGAACTGAATATGAAACCACTTATTATAATGATTAAATTTATTAAAGTGTTTAAATGTTTTAACTTTATTAAGTAAATTTACTAAGTAATAGACTATGGTAACACTCGTTTATGTCATAAACGAAGAAATGAATGTGAAAAATAACTCTAGCACAACATATTAGTTTATTAGGTTAACATATAATGTCAATATTTACAAAAGAATTGATACTCTTTTTTTAATAAAAATAGGTTTAAAATAAATTGAAGCAATTTGAGTTTCGGATATTTGGATTACAAGAAATTAAAACCAATTACTCAATACAGGTCGCATATTTCTCGATAGTCTAAAGTCATATTATTTGGACCTAATCTGAGACAAAATACGAAGATTTTATTTTCTATAATCTAGCTAGAGGACGAGGCAATGTATATTTACCTTGTGGCATGATATAGTTACCTAGTGGAATGGTATAGTTACCTAGTGGCATGGTATAGTTCCCTAACGTCATGGGATGGCATCCTAATGGCATGATATAGTTACCTAATGACATGGCATAGTTACCTAATGGAACAGGTGGCACGTACGGTTTGACATCAGCGGGCGGAATACTTGTGGCGAGGGGAGTTGCTGGACCGTTCACAAGCACGTATCCGAGATAGTTGAGGATTTTCTGGGCACGGTTCTGTGATGGCTTGAACATGAATAGTTGTGGATGCTCGTCAATGAAATACGTGTCTACAGCACCTAATTGCGAAAAGATATAAAATTAAAAAAAGGTTGATTCTCTTTAATTACTACTTATCAATTTTTTAAACAATTTGCAATATTACGTGTATCTCCACGTATCATAAGGTTGTCTGGAAGATATCGCTTACCAGTGATATAGTCACTGATTGTACTTCTAAAACATTTTATAACTAAACGATTCTGCATCGACCCGCATGCCATTGATCTCAGACTCCATCAGGAGAGAATAAATATTTGTTTAGAAAACAAATTATTTTCTTGTAGTCTACCAAAGCTTGTGGTCATTTTTAATGTAAAATTATTCAGTTATTTCATGTTGTAACTGTCCTAGTGATAAGTCGACTCACCATTAAGGAACTTCTGATTTTCCAATACGTTGAGCAGGAATGGAATGTTAGTTTTTACGCCACGTATACGGAATTCTCGTAATGCTCGGTTCATTTTGGCAGCGGACGCGGACAAGTCTTGTGCGTGGGAAATTACCTATGAATGTATCAAAATAGTTTGGAAACACAAACTCAATTATCTACCAGTGTTATAAAAAACAAGATTTAGCGTTGGAGCAAATTTACGCTGAGATTGCACTAAGTATTAGTCAAAATTCATATTATTTAAGAGAGACTTAGCAAAGGTTTACCTAGTATGAGGTTCTACAAGAGTAATGTTTACTCCTAGAAGGTAGTAGGTTTGCTTATTCTCTGTATAATATGAATATGCACAAATACTGAAATCGCAATTTTGGCGTTAATATACTCTGACGCTAATCTTTATTTATTGATAACACTGAAAACGATTATTGTATCCACGGGTCACATAGTTTAGTTAGTCTCACTATGGATCCTGTCGGGCACAACATAAATAGAAAGAAGCACTTGTTTCTATTATTGTAATTTATAATAAAGAAATAATAATATTAAATTTTAATAATATTATTTTCTTTTCTATTTTATTTTATTTTCTTCTTCTCGCGGATAGTGGAATATATATCAATAATATTGAGATCGCGATATAATTACTGGCATATTGCTCTTAAGCTTGATCTATATTTTATATATACTTCGAGTAAACCTAACAAGCAACAAGCATCATTTTATTAAACAAACAGCGCACCTGTAAAAAGAAGTACCTAATAATTTATTAAAAATATGATAAAACCATTTAAAAGTTGGTTTATACATTAACTGTGAAATAAATATAAATAAATATTTAAGAACATCACATACATTGCTCAGATTCCAAGATGAGTAGCTAAAGCCCCTGTATTATGGAGTATCTGAGACAACAAAGGTACCACAACACCCAGACCCGTGTCAATATAGAAAAGTTCATTTTCTACATTGACCCGACCGGGAATCGAACCCGGGACCTCAGAGATTGAAACCGGCGTGCGAACCACTCGGTTTACGGAGGTCATACTTCAAATATTAAATAATTTACTGCCAATTACCTTAACTAATAGCGAGTCGTAATATGGAGATATAACTGCACCGGCGTATGTCGAGGCAGAGTCGAGACGGATGCCCATACCTTCACCAGACCTATATAAAAAAAAGTTTAACAGCTAGTTGCACAAACGTCTATTAAAATGTTCATTAGTTTAAAATGACATTTCCCATACCAATTTGACATTGATTACAGCTTAAAGACGTCATTAAACCTCAATAGACGATTGTGCAACTGACCGTTAATAGGATGTATTGTTGCAACTGTCTGTCGTCAGATTGCAGAACTAGCATACTGTTGGAGGGAAAAGATCGACTACTACCGGCAGTATCAATTGTCAATTTCACTAAGGGCATCCCTGTCTGTCAGTCAGCTGTCACTAACACTTTGACTTTTGATCGGTTTCGCGTCAATATACTTCCGGGTTGTCATTCTTGTAAATATGGTGATTTTAAATATATCAATTGAATAGTAAAATGTGTCCTTAAATACGTAGTTTTAGCGATAAGACCACCTTTGCCCACCCTAGCATTAGTACCTTAGTACCTGTATCTATTATTAATAATTATGTGTGAGCAATAAAGTGTATATCTATCTATCTATTTTTTTTATAAACATCATTCGTCATTAACATAGTTGTGAGCAAAGAGTAAAGTAATAGATAGCATAGTAACAACGAATTTTCTGAATATGATATATTTAAAAAAAAAGCGATTTTTACATTATTTAGTTCCTATTCATATAAAAATATCTATAAATCACACTTGATACATATGTATCACAAGGCATATCATGTCTATACTAATATTATAAAAAGGAATATATGATTGTTTGTATGTTTGTTTCCATCGAATCTACATCATCAAACGAGAAGCTACATCATATGCGGTGAACATAGGCTATATTTTATCCCGAAAAACAGCAAATAAAGAGATCAAAACGGTAGTTGAGTTTGTATACGGAATTAAAACGTTACCATAGTAACCATTGTTTATTATACAATATGTCATTGTAATTATATCCGTGTTATGATATGAATCGGAACCCAAAAAAGTTCCCTAGGGCTCAGCCAGCCACTGGCTGAAAGCTAATATGATATGATGATAATTACCTGAACACTTCGATCCTCCCGGTGCTCGGTTGGAAGTTATTGGCGGGATCTTCGGTGGTGACACGGCATTGTATCGCGAAACCTTGCGCTCTAATCTTGTCCTGTGTGAGACCGATCTCCGGCAGAGTCATACCTTCAGCGACGCGAATCTGAGACTGTACTAGATCAATACCGGTAACTTCTTCAGTGATAGTGTGTTCCACTTGTAACCTGTTCGTGGAATTGAGAGTTCGAGTTAGTGAAGCGTCTCTTATTACACTTCTATCTATGGTTGCCCAACTATATATATTCATTTTTAGTATTTGTTATAGTGGCAACAAAAACACATCATCTGTGAAATTTTCAACTATCTAGCTGAGAAAACGGACAGCAGAGTCCGAAAAAGAGGCATCCATATAAATATTCTATTCAAAAAATCGTAGGCTTCAAATATTTTCTTATAGCTAAAAACTATTTTGTTTTATTTTATTTAAGACCCAATAGTTATCAATGAGGCTAGAAAAATGGTAAATTTTTACCTCTGTTCTGAAATAACTTAAATACTACCTAACTAGTTATATAATTATTCAATAAAAAAAAATCTTACAAGCGTTTTTAGATATATCACATGGTATAGTTTGCAAAGATTTTTTTATTATATAATTAACCCTCCAAAGAAGTAATGCTAGTAAAATTGACTTTTCTCATTGTCACCTATATGTGTACCAAAATCGGCTACCACAAGGCTTTTGTGGTGCCGAAATCCAAAAAAGGTAAGAAATATCTTTAGTCCTATTAAAATTAGACCTAATGTCTCCGCTTCACTTCCTAATGCTAGCAAATTATCTATACACAAATAATTTAAACAAATGTATAATAAAATTACCTGGCGTTGACTTCGATGAAGTAGAAATTGCCTTTGTCGTCTAGTAAAAACTCGACAGTGCCAGCATTTTCATATCCCACATGTTTAGCTAGGTGAACTGCACAGTCAGTCATCTTTTGACGAATCTAAAATAATATATACTGGTAATATAATACTTAAATGCGTTATTATCACCGAACAAAGTGAGCAACTTCAATGTGTCAAAATCACTGATTCGTATTTTCTATCAATGGTTCGCAATTTTGAAATGTCAACATCGGCGCTCTCCACTGAACTCAATTTCGACACTTGATTTTGTACCGATAAATTTCGTATTCCATAAGCATTAGTTACCATAAAAGTGAATAAAAAAGTGGCAATGGGCCAGCCCGCCAGCCATTAAAAACTATTTACATATAATACCAAAACCGCTCGATGAGCCGCGATGGCTCACAGAGTTCCGTGAACAATTTATTTCGGTTGTCCACCGAAGTTGTCAGTCACAGAATAAGGCGGTTGATTTCAACAGTGTCAACATAAAAGAATTAGTCTGAGAGATTTGCCATACATCTTCGTTTTAATTAACAATTTTTTATACATATTTATTCATTCTGTTATTAGGCATAAATATCGTTAATATTAGAAACCTAACAAAATCTCAATTCTATTACATATATCTTAAATAGCAACAAAATACCTAGTTCTTTTTCTAGATACTCCGATTAAAAATCGAATTATGCGTTAGCCACAGTTAGTTTAATATTACATTTGAACCATATTTACCTCGGGCTCTAGTTGTGGCGCGGGTGCGATTTCGACGACTTTCTGATGTCGCCTTTGAACTGAACAATCGCGCTCGTACAAATGAACCACGTTGCCGGCTTTGTCACCTAAAATGACAACGAAAACCATATACAGGGTTATTTGTTCACTAGCGACCTTTGCATCTAACCCGTTAATAGGACAGGCGTTATTGCACCCGTTATTGTAAGCGTTGAAAGTAAACGATACGTATCGCTATCCATAGAATTCGGAATCGCTTCCACGGAGTTCTGTTTTTGTTGCATGGTACTCTAGCCGATTCTACCTCGTACAACAATAGACAGTGACAAGACAATCCGAAACTATTAAGTGAGCGTTGAAAGTAAACGATACGTATCGCTATCCATAGAACGCTGAACAGTTTTCACGGAGTATTGTATTTATTGCACAAAGTACAACAGAATGCAGTACAAGTAGTAGTAGATCCCACGAGACAATGACCCAAAATATTATGTGAGCATTTAAAATAGACAATAAGTATCGCTAACCATAACTCTGGGTCGATTTTTATATAGCATATTTGATACAGAAGTACATCATCTGTGAAAATTTCAATTGTCTAATAACTAAAGCGGTTCATGAGATAGAGCCTGGTGACAGTACAATAAAAACACATTTGTTGTATACGAGAGTTTGTATTTTATTCGATTTTATAGTGTTTGTTGTTATAGCAGTAAGAAATAATCTGTGAAAATTTTAGACAGACAGACATCGAAGTCTTAGTAATAGGGTTCCCGTTTTACCCTTAAGGTATGAAACCTTTAAAAAGTACACATATTGACTTACCAAGCAGTTGCACTTCGATATGTCTCGGCCTCTCGATGAATCTCTCTATGAACATTGAACCGTTGCCGAATGCCCCGAGCGCTTCAGAGGAGGCCCTCTCGAAAGCTGAAGCCACTTCATCCATTTCCCGCACCACTCTCATGCCACGCCCGCCGCCACCGTATGCTGCCTTATGATTATAAATAAAAGATAAAACTCTGGTTAGTAAACATTTTATATTTACCCAATGGGGTTATGTCCAGAGGTCGGAATTAGGTAGAGTTATTTATGTACTTGCATCGAAATGTTGATATTAATATGGACCTTCCCGGGATTTCTTTATTTCTTTCTTTCATTTATGTAAGTTTGGCAACGTCGTGCATGCAGTAGTTTAAATTGTGTAAAAGTAAATAACTTTTTATTTAAAAAAATCACTGGATACATAATACTAAAATAACTGGATAATGACATAGCGACATCTAACTCATCGCCGTAACATCGCCACAACAATCGATAGCGGGAAGGCTAGCATCGTCACAGCCATCGATAGCAAGACGAACTGCAATAAGTCTCAACAGCAAGCAACGAGATGGCGCTGTACCAATACAAGCAGCATAAATTAATAACTACAAGGCATTTAGAACAAAGAAACCTACATCGCACAGAATAAGTTTCATTATCAATTAGCATAAATAGAACGTCCAACCTACATCGGTTGGACCGCGGTCCCCGGGCTAACAACACCTAGCTCGGAGGGAGACAATTATCCTTTAGTCTCCCTGGCCAGTTGTCTCCATCACCACAGTAGGGACCTCACAACCCTTCAACTTAAGGTTCCTAAATCGGGATTTGAGGCATATCCACTTTATTCTTTCGCTGTGTGAAATCAGTGTAAGTACATGAATAACTCTATCTAATTCCGACCACTGGTTATGTCCTACAATTATATTAAAAATCATATTTAAAAATTAAATAAAACGTAATTACTTCCATAATAACAACTAGAAACATAAACGCACAAATAAGAAAGATATTACAAAGATTGCCCAGATGTCGAACCTTCCGGATGGTTAAGGAAGATGGACCATGACCCTCCACGGCCCGGTACGGATTGGAGGGTATTAACGACCGGGACGAACGAAACGAAACGTGTCTTCCGAAGCAAGGAGCATCCCTTGACTGACCCTTGCGAAAGTTGCTTAACAACAACGATCGCGGCACGCACCGCTTATCCACTACGCCAACGAGTTTCATGCATGTATGGTGTTAGTTTTTTTTTTAAATCGGTCCCCTAGTTTCAAAGCAAACAAACAATCTTATCTTTTCTCTTCATAATATTACTATAGATTTGTGATGTTAATTTCCTTGAAAATAAACTACTATCAACTTAATTAATATTTTGTATTTAATATTTTCCTCGCTTCTAATTTTTATTATGTAAATAATTTACTTATCTATGTCCTTTAAGGAAAATAGAGCAGATATCGCAATTCCAAGAAAATGGACTTCTATAATGTAATTAATAAAAAAAAACCCCGTAAATAATTCACGAAATTTATTAATAACATAAGCAATTAAAGTTTATTTTATTGATAATTTAAATTTTATTGTATTTTATTAATTTTACATTCACAGTGCTATACTGTAAAATATTCTTAATCCCATTTCAGAGGACCAGAGTTAAGAATTTTAATATGAGTCCAAAACCGCATTAAAGGAAAGATTATATTGTTTGTTCGTTTGCATTGAATAGACTCAGAAATTAGACTGACTATAAAAAAAATTTCACCTACAGAAAGTTACAGCACACGCAAATCTCATAGGCTATAATTTACGGGGGTGAGCGAAAAAATAGCGAGTAAGTTAAAAAATAAACCATTGTAAGATTTGTTTAATTCATTCCTAAATAATAATACCTAGAAACACTTAAAAAATCGACTCTGGTAATTAATAACTAAATGTTTAATATAAAGTAATTAATTTGTAACAAACAAACTCCAAAAGTATAAGATTTTTATAGAAATTCTTAGGCTATATTTTAGCATCAGCAAAGTTAGTCATTTGTATTCATATAAATTTTTACCTTAAATATAACAGGGAGACCATGTTGCTTGCAAAAAGCGAGAGCTTCCTCTTTCGTTGTCACAGGGCCATCTGTTCCAGGTACTATCGGGACCTCTGTCAAGAAGATGAATACATTCATATATATTCAATAGTTACCGATTGTCAAGATTATAATTAATCATCATTCGGGAATACAGACTGCAATACAGGTATTCGAAGTACTAGACTTTTACAATACCGCTGGAACCAGCTATTAATTGGAAACCGCATGGGGTCAAATAATTTATTATAATCCGGAGGCAGCCTGGATAGATCCATGGTGCTATATTTCATAAAATAAATGTATTTTTTTAATAAAATTTCTTGAAACGTCATTTCAATCATCTGGCAACAAACATACTCGCGTATTTGTCAATTTTACTTTAAAATATAATAATTATGGAATTATGCAATTGTTTACTTGATAAAGTAATATTAAATCTCTTGGTCCTTTAGATGCAGACATATTTATGTAATTAAGACATGTGAACTTACTCGTACTTGTTTGGTAACACTTAGATGTAGAGCTGGGTTAAAATATCTAAATTATCCTTATTAGACACTACTATAAAAATGCACATCATACTAGCTTCGATGGCGGCCTTCCTCGCAGCAACTTTATCCCCCATCTGCTGTACCACCCTCGGAGCGGGTCCGATGAAACGTAGACCGGCATCAATGATAGCTTGAGCGAAGTCTGACCTGTGAAGTATTATATGCTTGAAAATACTGATTGCGATCTTTCGTACCCAGTCAATCTTAAAGAATTACTATTGCTCGATAATTCAATTCGTAATAAAGTATACAAAACCTTAACAATTTTTTCCCTGTTTTTTTTGGTATCTTTTTACTATATTTACACACCGGAATATGTAATATTAAATGTCAACATGATAATATCATAAAAACAAGCAAAATTACTCTAAATATTATAATTATATTTACATTTGTAAATACTAATAAATCTAAATTTTAATTAGTTAATTGATTTGTTGTATTGAACCTCACTTTGTGCCCTTTGACATATAGATCAAAACTCAGCAAGACATGTATATGATCTTACCTTTCAGAGAGCAATCCGTAGCCGGGATGCACAGCATCGACATCATTCTCTTTTGCTACTCTAATTATTTCTGGTATGCTAAGATAAGCTTCAACCGGAGGCAATCCTTTGCCAACTAGATATGACTCGTCGGCTTTTTGCCTGTAATATTAAAAATTCGTGTTAATTAGCATATAAATGATGCATACGTCGACCCTATTTCAGTTATATGTACAGTCAACAAAATTTCTGCCTACCCTCACCGGGTTTATGAACGTCTTGGGGTTTCCGAATTTGCCTAGCGGACCTCAAAAATTGAAATTGCCATGTAAAAAAAAAAAAAAACAAATAAACTATTGTCTTTTTTATAAGGTGGGTGGTGGTGTGGTACAATAAATTTCAAATATGAAGTTACGGTAAGAAAAAAAAAATAAGTAAGCATTCGATCAGTTAAGTATTAAAAATATCTGACTAATAGAATAATTAAAGTATTCTTAGCAAATCTTATTCATTATTTTGAATCCGATCGTTGCAATATTAAGAATGCATTAAAAATACTCGAAATATATTCAGTAATAATTAAATTACACAAAATTCATTGACTAATATTTTTTAAAGATCCAGAATTAAAAAACTCACAATGTGCCTGCTTTTGTACCGCCAGGCACCACATTTGCATTAATATTATTAATAGGTAAGATTTCAGTGATCGTTAGTTGGTATTCATCGCATAGATTTATAAAAAAATATTATTACTATTACTTACTACTAGACGACACAGAAGATGGATCAGCCCTAACTTACTATTACTACTACTGAACGAACTCAGTTCTGCCACGCCGTAAGAGGTCTCACCTGTGCATCTGCAGTTTGTCTTGCTCGCTGTATATGGCGACTGAGCGTATACCCAACTCTGTGCATGCTCGAAATACTCTGATTGCTATTTCACCCCGATTCGCTACCAGTACGCTTCTGATGGGTTTGTATTCTACTGTTTTTGAATCCTGTGAATAAAAATAGTTTTTATTTGTTAAATTATCGCCTTTATGTCGCTAATGTATAATGCTAAAGAATGATTTGAGTATTATAGTTCACAGCTAATTACAAAAACAAAGGTTGTAGAATAATGGTTATTAACGAACAGATTCAATCATGCCAACTGAGAATTTATGTTATTTAATAAATGTTTATTAAAAGACGCTACAATTATCGTTTTGAGTTACAGGCAGTCCTCGTACTTATGGCATGTTAGGTTCTCCAAAAATGCGACGTAAAGCAAAACGACGTAAGTCGAGACAAATTTTTTCATATGTTTACATGTAAAAATAAAGGGTTTCATATGGCCTCAAAATAAACAAAAAAAATACATTATAACAAAGGATATACATACTTTATTATCAAAAGTAAGTAATTAAACTTAAAATAATTATAAATGTACTTATGACATTGCTAATTATTTTTGTTATTTCAATAATTATATTAAAACTTTAATAATCAAAATATGCAATGAGAAATAATATATTAAACATTTGGCATAAAGAAACTATCAATTCTCGATTGCTTCGCTTCTTTCTTCTTGCTATCATACAAGTCTTGGTAACACTGATAGGCTGCACAAATTTTGTTATTAACATTAAAACTTCTCTCAAAATTAGGATCATTTTCTTCAAAAATTTTCATGGCATTCTCCAAATTTGCAAAGGCTACGGAAAGTTTTGTTAGCGTAAGTTCTTTTTCAGAGTTACTAATAGAAGACTCTATTTCTTGTGACTCGATTGCTTCCTCTTTTATTTGTGCCTCCAATCCAATAAGATCTTCATCAGTTGGTTCTTGCGAATGTGAGCATAACAGATCATCAATATCATCAGCAGTAACTGCAATGTCAGGCAAACGATTAGCCAAATGAACAATGTCAGTTGTGATCTCATCGATATTTGGTTGATCTGTAGATGAAGAACTTTCAGATGACTTAAAAAAATCTGGGCATAATTTTTTCCAAACTCCTTTTAAATTGTCGGGTGTCACCTCATTCCATGAAGCAGCAATATTTTTTACGCATTGCAAGATATTATAACTTTTCCAAAAATCTCTCAGCTCCATGCCATTTATTTCATAAGCCTTTACAGCCTGTGACAATGTTCTCCTGAGATAATAGGCCTTGAAAGACGCTATAACTCCTTTATCCATCGACTGTAGCAACGAAGTGGTGTTTGGAGGCAGGAACAAAACTTTGATTTGAAGATCGATATCGGCAATACGCACAGGATGGCCGGGAGCGTTGTCCAAAATAAGTAAAGCTTTATAAGTCAAATTATTGTTTAAACAGTACTGTTTCACTTCAGGTATAAAATGCCTAGTAAACCATTCTTCAAAAAGTGTTGGTGTAACCCATGCCTTTGGATTAGCCTTCCATATAACTGGAAGAGTACTCTTGACGTAATTTTTAAGGGCTCGAGGATTTTCAGACCCATAAACCAAAAGGGGTTTCAATTTAAAATCACCTTCAATATTCGAACCCAATAACAACGTCAAATGATCTTTAGCCGCTTTAAACCCAGGCATAGACTTTTCTTTCTGCGATATAAAAGTACGAGAAGGCATTTTTTTCCAAAACAAACCAGTTTCGTACACGTTAAAAATTTGTTTAGGCGAGTAGTCTCCACTTTCGATAATTTCTTTTAATATTCCAGGAAAATTCTGAGCAGTCGCATGATCGGCACTAGCAGCTTCCTCTTGCACTCGAATGTTATGTAATGAATATCTCGTTTTAAAGCGCATGAACCATCCGCGACTGGCAGAAAAAGATTTTGTTTCTTCACTATTATTCTCGCCACGTTTATTTTGCAGTGTGTTGATGATACTCAGCGCCTTAGTTTGAATAATAGCCATACTTAGAGGAACCCGTCGCTGAGTTTGATTTTGAATCCAAGTGTACAAGTGTTTTTCCATTTCACTAATTAAAGCATTCTTTTTTCGTATAATAGTGCTGTTTAAAGAAACGAAAGGTAGAGCTGTTAGGAGTTTTTCTTTATCTTTCAATATAGTTTGTACGGTCGTGCGTGATAAATTAAGTTCTTGTCCAATAGATGAAGTCGAACAACCGCGATCTTTGAGTTTTAAAATCTTAGATTTAACCTCCATTGTAATTGTCTTTCTTACTCTTTTCTTCACTTTACTATTATTGTCTTGTTTAGGTGGCATAGTTAGATTAAAATTCACTTAAATATGTATGTTAAACAAAAACACTCAAAGATGCAAAAAATACTAATGTATTACGTCTTGATCGTCCGTTGTCCCTGAATTAACTAAACAAGACAGCGGGGCACAGTGTTGGCGTGCGGGGTAATCCCCGCACAAGGCGCTGATTTTGTTTAGTTAGCAAGCGTGCGTTAGTGAGCGCTCTCGCCGACACTGCGCCCCGCCGGCCCCACGCACATTGCCCTCGCGACAAGTGAATTCTCCTGTGCCGGAAATCGAAACCATTGACGTATGCCTGAGGAACAGTGTCAAAACATTGTTTGACGTACCTTGAAATGACGTAGGTCGAGGACTGCGTGTATTTTGAATATTGTTAAGTAGATAAGAAATAATTACTTTATTGTAGAACGATCACTTTAACGTCCACGTGTCAATGTATGGATGAAAGCATGTTTTGAGTGTAATCATTTTGTCATAGTACACATTATCGTGAGCTTATACGCGCATTAGGACTGGATTATACGTTCTAAACCAGGTATGGGCAACCTTGGACATGTTGTGGGCCAAACTTTAGTGTGCAAATACATTCAGGGGTAGCGTTTAAAAGTAGTACATTTTAAAGTAGTTTTGTAGTGCTCATAATTTTTTATTCTAGATAATTAGAATTCTAAATTTAATGATTTAATTAAAATGTTATTATTTCATTTTGTTATTTTAATAAATTGATATTATAATAACACTGTCGTATTATTTCATGTCTAATATCTATCGCAAAAAAATATGAGCACTACAACACTACTTTAAAATGTACTACTTTTAAACGCAGCCCGCGAACGTTTTTGCACACTAAAGTTTGGTCCACAATGTCTAATTTTCCCAAACCTGTTCTAAACTAACGTCAAATATATTGTCAAATAGCATAACTGACTTTTAGTATCTTATTATTATATGAAAAACCAGCGGTTTGACAAGTTAACAACTAAATCTAACTTGGATTCAGATCTTTCTTTAAACAAAATTTCTAAATATATTTAATACTTTGTCTATTCCTTCATATAGTTTTTTTTTTTTTTTTTTTTTTTTATTTGGGTTAACAAACAGTTTCACAATGAATCTTAATAGCTAAGTATATAATTTGTATTTAAGAATAATTAATTGTGAAACCAACACCGTCAACCACGGGTAGATTTCAGTAGTTGAGAGTTAAACAAATAGTATAATAGAATATAATAGAAAAGAAAAGTGATGTACTCATACTTAAGTCAGATGCCCAATGCTGATCTCGTTCAATTTGTTTGTAATTAATGTTTTAAACGAGCCAACACTGGTTGCAAATATGTCTGTATCGTTAAAATAATTATTATGTATGTCGGCTAGCCGCGATATTGGTGTACGTTTGCCGGCGTTTGTACGTGAGTTACTTTTTTACTATAATGTCTTCGGAGTTGATGTTAAGTATGCAAGGTTGGGTAAAGAAATCGATCTAGCTAGTTTTAAAAGCTTGATCATCAAGGTACTTGTTCCTAATACAAAAAATTTTCAAATGTTCTCTACTAAAAATTTCCTCCAGTCCCCACGTTAACTAGACAAAGTACCAGCTATGTCCCATGTGATTCAGGAGATTATAATTTAAATTCACGTAGATATCTAAAAAAAATTTTGAGAAATGTACATCAGAATCGACCCAAGTCTACTTTATAATACTCTATTTTACTTATCACAATTCAATGAGATAAAATTAAGCTAACCTTCTAACGTTCCGTGACTTATTGTTTTAATTGTTATAATCTTTAAGATGATATGCATATATATAAAACTATTTTATCATATAACATTAATAATCCTAGTAATATTATATGAATGCGAAAGCTTGTGAGTTTGTTATTTTTTGGCGAAAAACTGCTAAATGGATTTGGATAAAATTTGGTATAAAGTATCATTGGGAATTAAGGCCCGCATGATAGGGTCTCTCATTAAACCGTTCAAACTTTACTCACACATGCATAGCACCGTTAGATAACAGGTTTACGCATGTGTAAGGGGCCGTCCATTAATCACGTTAGGATCGAAAAGGGGAAATGGGAGGTGTCGTAAAAATCACGAAATATCACGAGAGGGAAGGGTGTAGTAAAACATCTCGATATTTATTTTAAAAGTAAACACGTGATAACTAATCTGAAAACCGGCGTCACGTGTATTTATTTCTCTGTCAAACAGGAAAAAAATAAATGCGGCGTGTCGCGTGATATTGATTCGTCCAAAATAAGATTCTTGGTAGTTACTTAAAAATACACGTGATTCGGATGGGGGGCAGGGTAGTCTTAAACCTCACAACCTATATCACTGTATCACCAAGAGGAAGGGAGGGTAAAAAGATGGCAAAAATCATCACGTGATTAATGGACCCTAAGTAAAATTTAAACAGGTATAGAAAAATAAATAGTTTAGCACGAAATTTCACGGGATAAATGTACTGTCAAGTCATCGTGTAAACTAGCGGAAAGCTAGTAAATAATAATGTTCTAAATGAATTTAGTATAATAGTTTTTACATCCCGAAGAATTAAATAATATCTATCGATAAATGTAGATTAAATCCCAAAAAACTACTCATAGGCGTAGCTAGGGAGGACATGGTGGGCCGGGCCCACCCTAGAAAAATACCCTCCTTCATACATAAAATAACTTCATTATTAACAAAATCCACGGCTGCCCCTCTAGGAAAAATCCCTGTTTATGCCAATATACGTACCTATTACAGGCACGTTCATAGTACGTTCATATTACAGGCAAATACTATAAAAAAGTTATATGAGAGTTACACTTTGTGAAGCCGTTTAATAAGCATATAATATACTCTATTTATTCAGCATTAAGACAGTAAATAAAGATTTTGATTGTAGTGTTTTTGAACAGTTGGTCTTACACAACTAGGAATTTTCTCTATTCATGTCAATGCCCCTATTACTGTGTCTTGTTTGTTTGGACATAAGCCGACTATCTGTTCATACATAGAATATCTAGTCGAGTCAGATATCTAACAAGATAACAATTATATTAGCTGCGTCTACAACGTGTTGTGGATCTAAATTTATTATGTACCTATATAACTTTTTTATACTATACAAAAGGCAAATAATTGACGAATGAATGAACGACCTTTAAAATTTAATTACGCCTTTAAGTGTATCAGTAATGGCACTTTAAGGTTAAACTAATGACAGTTTTGATGGATTATTGTGCAACATTGTAAATTATATTATATTTCAGCCTAACAGACAAAGTTGGGGCGGCCTATGCTCAGCAATGGTCTTTTATATCTGACGAAGATAATTAATAAAATAGAGAACCGTCTTTAAATCTTTTTAAAATAAAACATTACTGTATGTATTTTATAGTTAATGCGATTTAGTAGTATGCATTATATATTATAGCAATATATTTGTAATAGGATATTATTTTATAATCCTTTTGTAAACGATGGCACACTACCACATCCTTCGGACAGGTGTCCTTTAACACAAGGGTCGTCTGGAAGAGATCGCTTTTAGCGATAAGACCGAAATTGCCCACTAGAATTAAGAAATTTTCTGTTAACTTTTCATTTGTGTGTGAGCAATAAAGAGTTCAACTATCTATCTATCTATTACTGTCGATAACAAATAATAGTAAAGTAGTTAATAGTTCATTTATAGCGTAACAATTTTTGCCGTAGCTTTTAGCATCCTGTTGTTTCTTATTATCCTCCTGAATGAACTAATGATGTCATTTATTAAAACAAATATAACACTTACCGTCGACGCTGTCCTAGTCTTGGCAGTGCTCCACGCCTGGAACTGCGAAGCACTGGCTCTCAAAGCGAAACGAGCCTTGAGTATTTGCATTTTGGAAGCTAATATAAAAATTTAACACTAAATAAGTACGAGCTTAAAAATAATTAATTAAATAAAACACGTTTGTAAAATTATTTCATTTTTGTTTATATGAATTGACTAGATTTTTTTCTATATCGTTTTCGAGTAGTGCTTCAAGTTCGACGTATCAGTTTATCTGAAACAAGAAAAAAGAAATGAGCACCTACTACATTTACGTGAGTATATTATACATCCTATTATCCTATTAATATTATAAATGTGAAAGTTTCTTTGTTTGGATGCTTAGATGTTTGGATGTTTGTACGTCAATCACGCCGAAACTACTGAACGGATTTTGATGAAATTTGGTATACAGATTGGGTGTTAGCTGACTTAGATAATAGGATACTTTTTATCCCACTAAACATTTCCCTAGGGTCCACGCGGGCGAAGCCGCTGGCGAAAGCTAGTAGTATTATAATCGAGTATTTTCCCTATCCGATATGGATGTAATAAATTTAAAAATGAGTTGTTTAACATCTCAAGATTTACTACAAATAAACAATAATAAACGACATGTATGTATGAGCAGTTACCATTCACGTGATTCATGTAAAGTTCAAACGAGTGTATGATTTACCGTGTGTTTAAAGCATGCATTATCAATGAACGACCGTGAACATACGTAAATAATCATGCAAAATATATACTTCCTAAAGTAACACTCTCGAAAGTTAAAAACTATAGAACAGTCAGTGTCGAGTGTGTGTGATATATATCTCTCTCTATAGATAAAGGTACATAGAAATAGAAAAGTGACAAAAACATTTCCGCCTTTAAATATCTAAATTGAAATGCAAGATATTTTTTAAATATAACATCTTGAGACGTAGTTAAGTAATAATCATCGACTTAAAAAAAAAATTAATCCGTACGGTGCTCAAATTATATTTTATTTTACCGAGTATATTTTCACTTTATTTTCAAATGAAAACATTTCATTGCAATGCAAATTAGAATATACAGTTTCCAGTCGGTAACTCAAACGACCCGAATGACATTGCTAAGAATTAACACCCTTTAACCGACCGACATAAGCTTCTACTATATAGATAATTGTCAACAATAATTTATTTCAGTGTCTTTGCCATGGCTAATTCAATATGCTGATACAATAGTTTCATTGAGAACAATTGCTATAATGCACTTTATATTATATGCATATTAGCGTGTGCACTCACTGTGCGTGCACTGCAATTATAAATATTTTTATTATAAATAATTTTTTTTTGTGCAGGTAGTAGGAAGCAATTTGGCATCATTCCAGAGGTTTTCAAAAACCGTTTTTTCGGTTAGCACAGATTCGGGTGATTATATTTTTGAAATGTCTTAGATTGTAATAAAAGTTACTACAAATGGTTAGTCATTCTAGTTACCTCATGTTATATAATACAATAGTTAGTGTCAGTGTTAATAAACAAAGATATCAAAACAGGAAGATGATATATCTTCCTGTTATCTATATTTATATCTATATCTATATTTCGAGTAATAACTCGAAATGAAACATATACGTTTAATTTTGTAATAATTCCAAGCCGTCTGTAAGACATTGGGAATTGTGAAATTAAAATAATCCAGCTAGTTAATAAACGAATAGTTGTAGAAATGTTCCTTTGACGTTATAACTATGTAACTTATTATATATAGTATTGTATTATAACTATTTACACAAAAATATAAAGTGCAATTTCGTTCAAAAACTAACGTTCTGTAAAAAATAGTTTTTTTTTTTTTAAGTAAGTATGTATTTAAGATAAACGGTCCGGTCCCACCTGGGCTTAATTTATAAGATACCAGGTGCCGGACCACGCGAGAGGGTAGTACGGGGGGTTTTGCACGGTAGGCCCACTGCACTGGACCGCCGTTCCTTGCAGTGGGAGAGCCCGGGTTCAGTCGGCCTCTAGCCCAGCACGCGTAGCATAACAAACTCGAGAAACGCTTTGTCTACACTCACTTGTCAGTTTGTCGGCTCGAGAATGAGATATCGTATGGGCGCACCCGAGAAAAGTGATATTTGAGTGTAGACAAAACGTTCTCGAGTTCGTCATGCTACGCGTGCAGGTCGATGGCATGTTGAGGTCAGTTCCCCTCGGTATAAAAAAAAATAAAAAAAAGGTATGTAAGATAAATGAATAATGTAAGAATATGGGAAAAGCATTAAATTACTGATAGCAAATATATTGTGATCAAAAATAAGTCTAAATGATCTGTAATTTTCAATTATTTTATCGATTTGAAATATTTTTTGACATTTTATATTGAAAGTATCCTCTCTCTTTGTTTCGTTTGATTTGATGATCCACCACGCTACTGTCTTTGCGGGGATACTAGTGTTGCTAACGGTAACTACTCTACTTACCACTTAATGACGAGAAAAATAGGTAATTATTTTAATAGTGCATAAATAAGTACCGACAAACAAACGGTATCACATTGTTAGTATCAGATCAGATATTTGTTTAATATTTTCAAGGTTATTAAATTTCAAGATTATGTAAATTACAAATGTATCGTAAATTGTAGTCCTAATTATAAAGTTCATTGTACCTACAATTATTGATTAGATTTAATCAAGTAATTAAGATAAGATACCTTTGTTATTATTTATTTAAGGTATTTATTGTATGTATACAAAATTTTGAGAAATTCACTAAAACCATTCCATTATATGAATTCAATTGGGTTTATTGTTAATAAAAAAATTATATCATATCGTATTTTATTCCTTAATCACTTTAGGAAATAACCACGATAAGGTGTTTTAGTTGATTTTGACATCCAAATGCAGGAGCAACTCAACGCATGTTAAGGGAATGAGGATAGGATCCCACATGCAATGTGGGATCCTAGTGTTTCATAGGCCTACACATTGCCTAGGCCTAGGCCTACACATTGCATCTGCCCCTAAATTGAACGAGCTTCCGCGGGATTGTAATAGATTCTTTTAATAAAACTTTTGTTTTCTGGCTACCGGTTTCTCATTCTTATCTCTAAGCATTTCGATTTGAATTCAGTATAAGAAAGACCGTACTAAAAGACCTCTTATTAAGGCCCTTCAGTTTATTTTTGAAGGGAATAGGCTATGCGGGATCCTGTTGTCCCACGTATGTTAAATGTCCAGTCTTGCGAAAACCGGTATTTCGCACTTATTACTAATTTCCTTTTGTTTGCACTACATATTGATTCAAAATTTTTAGGTACAATAAGCATCTTATAATGACTAAAAAAATAAAGTATATGGAATATATGGAACCATATATGGATATTTAAGGCGATAATGAAAGCATAATACGAATAAGAAGCTGTGAAAATATGTTAATAGCTACAGTAAAACATCAAATTAGAACTCTAGCAGCAAGTAAGAAAAAGTCAGTCAAGTTAGAAATCTTCCTATTTCATTGGACTGGCTTGAGAATTGTCTCCACGGAGCTAATACGAACTGTCTTGGCTACTTGCCTAGTCTGAATGGTCCATAAAGTGCTTAATGCATGAATGAATGCATCGGCCTAAACGAGAGGTCCAAAGTACTAATTAATGTTAAATGCTAACTGCAATTTTTATGTTATGATTCGTGAATAGACAGTTTACTTTTATTGTTCGCTAATCCTTAACAAAAGTCATTTAACTTAGGTACATTCGATTTTATCGCCTTCTAGATTTTTGACAAAATCCCAATGTTTTTGTTATAAATTCCATATAAGATTACATGATTTCATACTATTAAAAAAAACAAGTTGAGGAGTAATCGTTGGTTACTTATATAGTCAAAGTATTTCTATTTACAAATTAGACACCTGTGTTTAAAGATTCATTCAATAGAACACAAAGTTACACATTGCTGATTTACTCCATTTTATTTCGAAACCTTAACACATTCACAGTAAAGATCAAAATCAATTTCAGTGTCTTTGTGCGGTAACCCGATGTTCTGCCACATGGTTATTAGTAACAATTGCTTCGTACACACAAACTACAATAAGCGGCGATAGGCCTTGATCGAGAAATTTCAATCATGGAAACCATTGTTCAATATGGCTTCCTTCAATTGTCCGAGTTGAAACTATTGATATGTTAACAAAGTACTTAAGAATGATTGCTAATACACATAGAGCATCGCGTACAACACGCTAGATAAATAGAAAATGCGACTGCAACTAATTAAATGGATTAGATACTTATTTCTTATACTTATATTCACGCACACTACTCATTATAGAAAAAAAAAACACAAAATTAAACGTTTTATCGTGTTTTTAGTTTTATTACAGATTAAATCGAGGTTATGTAATCAATACTAACACCAATTTGATTTTTTTTTGTAATAGATTATGTCAAAAAATAATGAACCTATTTTAAATAGTCTTTTCAATGCAGTTGCTCGTAAAGCCCTATTTTTTTAATCCATTGTAAACACCGAAAGTGAGTCTTTAAACACGTGTGAAATAAAAATGTACTGAAATCCTTTACTGCACACGTGCTTAAAAGTATTTTATTAATTTTTTTGGCCGAGCACCAAAGAAATTTAAAAAAAATTGATGAAAATATGTCAAACTTTGAGTCATGTCTTCGCATGCAGGCCCCATGCGGCTTGGTGGGGTACAGCAGGTGCATACAAGATCAACGGCTTCACATGCCTTCCGAGGAACTCAGATAATACATTTTCGATCACTCATCCTGTGACTGGCCCACAAGAGTGGCCAACCTTCCACATCACCTGCGTCATTTAGCGCCGCCATCGATTCGTTCATAATACATTAGTCACGAAATAGAATACCGCCAGCAGTCAGCGTATATTGAAATTAAGCGTCCGGCAGCCCTTATTCTTCCATAATAAAAGCAATTCTTTTTCGTTATAAGTAAAATAAAATTACTAAAGCCACTAAGATCAGGCTAGTATACTTTCTAATATTTACCATATGCTTGTGCGCGTCGGAAACGTGGACTCTGCGGGAAAGAGAGAAGAAGAAAATAAACGCTCTAGAGATGTGATGCTGGAGAAGGATGCGTAGGGTGTCATGGACGGAGTTCCGTATGCAATCATAATAAACGAACATAATAAACAATGAATCTATAATAAATGAATAACGATAAACGCAACAATAACTCCGTGGAGCGCCTGGTAATACAGGAAAAGTAGAGGGAACTCGAGCACGCGATAGATCCCCGATGAGATGGACAGACCAAATAAAGGCGGTAACAAACTGCTCTATCCAAGAG